ATGGTGAACTTAAAGAACAAATTTATATGGAGCAACCTCATGGATTTGAAGTTGATGGTAAGGAAGACCATGCTTACTTGTTAAAGAAATCCTTGTATGGATTGAAGCAGTCTCCAAGACAGTGGTATAAGAGGTTTGATTCTTTTATGTTGGGTCATGGTTACACGAGGAGCATGTATGATAGTTGTGTTTACTTCCGGAAGTTAACTGATGGCTCTTTTGTGTATTTGTTGCTTTATGTTGATGACATGCTTATTGCAGCTAAGAATTTGTCAGAAATTCACACTTTGAAAATGCAGCTGGGTAGTGAATTTGAAATGAAAGATTTGGGAGCAGCTAAGAAAATTCTTAGCATGGAGATCAAAAGAGATCGAGGAGTTGGAAAATTATTTCTGACTCAGAAAAATTACCTCAAGAAAGTCTTGGAGAGGTTTGGCATGAAAAATGCTAAGCCAGTTAGTACTCCTCTTGCTAGCCATTTTCGGCTATCTGATGCTCAGTCACCACAGTCAGTTGAAGAGGAAGAATATATGGTGAAAGTTCCATATTCTAGTGCCATCGGCAGTATTATGTATGCAATGGTTTGTACTCGTCCAGATATTTCACAAGCAGTCAGTGTGGTTAGTAGATATATGTCTCGCCCAGGTAAAATACATTGGCAGGCTGTGAAGTGGATTCTCAGATACTTGCAAGGGACTTCAGATGTTTGTTTGGAATTTGGGAAAAATCGTGACACTTTGGTTGGTTATGTCGACTCTGATTATGTTGCGGATCTTGATAAACGAAGATCTTTGACAGGCTATGTATTTTGCATTGGCGGTTGTGCAGTTAGTTGGAAAGCTTCCTTACAACCTGTCGTAGCTTTATCTACTACAGAGGCAGAATATATGGCAGTGACAGAGGCGATCAAAGAAGTTTTATGGTTAAGAGGATTGTTCAGCGAATTATGTCTGCATCAAAGTGTTACTACAATTTACTGTGATAGTTAAAGTGCTATTCATTTGACTAAAGACCAGATGTATCATGAGAGGACAAAACACATCGATGTGAAGTTTCATTTTATTCGGGATATCATTGCTGAAGGAAAAGTCCTTGTTCAGAAAATTCATACGAAGGACAATCCAGCTGATATGTTTACGAAGCCTCTTCCGGTTTACAAGTTCAAGCAGTGCTTGGACTTGGTTGGTATTCATTGTTGGTGATTGCCCGTTGGGGCTTTTGTGAAGAAGGTGGAGCAAGTTTTGTTGGGACATGCCAAGGTGGAGATTTGTTAGTTTGACAAGTCCCATAGTCCCACATCGAGAAAATCAGACTTGTTGTCTCGTCTTGGAACTATAAATAAGGGCCTGGGCTTTGAAGTCAGATGTACCACAGGCAGCACAAGAGGCACCACAAGAAAACCAGCTTATGGTTTGGTTTTTTTCTTATTTAGTAAGCTGAAGGTGTTTTATGGCCTAGGAACATCTTCCTAAGGCATTTGTAAGTGTCCCTCTTTTATAGTAGTAATTTGCTCCTCTTTCTTCCGTGAATGTAGGTCAAAGTCGTTCTGATGTTTTGTTTGTTCTTGTCGCTTTTATCTTTTCTATTTTATTGTCTTTGTTGTGTTATCAAAATTACCTTGTAGTAAATATCCTGGGGCTAGCTATAACATTATACAATATTAATGATAACTTTATGATGTAAATTTATGATAAAAGTTCTACATGGTAAAACATATCATTAGGCCATCAGTTTATAAGCTGGAACATATCCTATTCTAACAAAATTGCATCAGACTGGGTCTGATCTATTAATCAGCTAGTATGGAGTGATGATTATAATTATAAGGAATTCTATCTGTCTGTAGATGCCCAATCATAAATAGTTCTTCAAAGAACTCTGCATCCTTAACAGCCCTAATTAGATTACCTTTTCTATTGTGATATAGAGAAAATGAACTCAAATCAAACCAATAACTGATCAATTTTCTCACCTTTGTGGTAGCAGGTATCTGTCCTCTAAAGAAACATCTGCAGTCTAGATTTGGTGCAATAGTACTCACAGTAGAGAAAAAAAAGAGTGAAGTTATGAGACATTGATAAGGAATCTTGCAGTTTCCATGAGAAATTCATCATCATGAATAAGTCCATAATTTATTAGGGTTTTTTTTTCCTAATAGAAACAAACTCTTCAATTATTTTTGAACCCCTCAACCAAAATAAAATTAAAATAAAAACAAGGAACAAAAGAACCTACCTACAATACTGACAGAGACAACCTACTGTCCATGTCTACCAGAGGGTGGAGAAGAACAAACATTATCAATTTCATTCAGTGGTTTGATGGCTATTACTTGCTCAAAATACAACCTTATGTGAACATGATCATCTACTCATATGATCAATCATTAGTTGTGCTGAATTCTTTTCATGATGTTGAATTTTGTGCATAAGAAGTCAGAACCTACCACCAGTAGCACTGACAAGGGCTCTAAGGACTTGGTGAGATTTCCTATTATAATCTGACTGATGGAACAATTTGCTAAGCTGTATAGCAGGTAGACATTAATCTCTGTTTGGTGAAGAAGATTGGTCACCAGACAATATCTCCATAAAAAACGACTGCTTGACGCAATTGCAGGGAGAAAATGATTTGATTCCATGAACAATGTCACATCAAGTTGAGGATAGTCTTTCAGAAGAACTTGAACTAATCATCGTAAACTTATCTGGTAGGTTCTTAGCAACAAGCAACCAATGTGGCATCATAGTTTGGTACTGCGATTCCAAGGAACAAGTGCAGAAAGAGAGAGTCGTTCTGAGGCATTCCTATCATGGAAAGGCTCCTTTCTAAGAGCTGGGAAGAATCAAAGAAGACATGGCACATAGCAGGCCCTGCAATACTTGGATCAGTCTTCCAGTTCTCCATTAGCTTCGTCACTGCCGCCTTCGCCGGCCATCTTGGCGCCGTTGCGCTTGCTGCGGTCTCCGTCGCTCAGAACGTCATTGAAGGCTTCGCTTTTGGGATACTGGTAATCATGTTCTTCCCCAGATGAGTCGTCGGATCACGCGAACTTTCTCCATTACCTTCTTCTTCATCTGTAGTTGGGCATGGGGAGTGCACTGGAGACTCTCTGCGGCCAAGCTGTGGGTGCCGGGCAATTCCACATACTAGGAATCTACCTGCAGAGATCGTGGGTCATCACCTTGGCGACGGCCACTGTCCTAACTCCACTCTACGTGTTCACAGCGCCGATCTTGAAGCTCTTGCGGCAGCCGACCGACATCTCGGAAGTAGCAGGCGAATTCTGCGTCTGGGTGATCCCACAGTTGTTTGCTTACGCTGTGAACTTCCCGCTGCAGAAGTTCTTCCAGTCTCAGAGGAAGGTTTGGGTGATAACTGAGATTGCTGGTGCGGTGCTCGGCCTTCACATCCTTCTGAACTGGGTTTTCGTGGTGAGACTTGGCTATGGATTGGCAGCAGCAGCCATCATCGGGAACGTTTCGTGGTGGCTTATTAATCTGGCTCAGATGGTCTATCTGTTCTCCGGTTGCTTTCGAGATTCATGGACGGGGTTCTCTCTGCTGGCCTTCCAAAACCTGTCTGCTTTCTTCAAGCTGTCGCTCGCGTCAGCTGTAATGTTATGGTTGGTGCTCTGCTGCAACTCCTTCAGATTTCTTCGGATGTGTTGACTCATCTGTTGCGCGATTGCAGCTTGGAGCTCTGGTATTACACTGCAGTGATCATCCTCGTGGGCTACCTGAAGAATCCAGATGTGGCAGTTGCTGCCATTTCTATCTGGTTAGCTGTTCTTCCTTCGTGTCCATGATTCATTCTTGAGTTCCGCGCAGTAACATGATCTGATCCGATTGACAGCATGAACTACCAAATCTGGACATTGATGATTACTCTGGGATTCTATATTGCAGTCAGGTAGCAATCCATCTCCAACCTCTTAATCTCACCAAGCAAATGGTTCACTAACAAGCTGAAATCTCTTGTTTCTTGCATCAGCGTTCGAGTATCGAATGAACTCGGAGCGAATCGACCCAAAGCAGCAAAATTCTCTGTGGTCGTTGTTCTAACCACATCAGTGTTGATAGGCACAGTTTTCATGGCCATGGCTCTCATCTTCAGGAAGAAACTGCCGGAATTCTTCACAGACGTACCAGAAGTGATCAACGAAGCATCAAAATTGGGGTATTTTCTCGGTGCCATAATTCTTCTGAACAGCATTCAACCTGTTCTCTCAGGTATTCTTCTCTGTGCCATATCGAAAACCCGAATCACATCAAACCATATCATTTTAAACGATTCTCTATCAAGTTCAAATATTTTCTTTCCTTTCTCTTCGACTACTTTTTCTCTCCTCAACAATATTGCAGGAGTGGCAATAGGAGCAGGTTGGCAAACCTCGGTCGCATTCATAAACTGTGCATGCTACTACCTCTTAGGATTGCCTGTTGGAGCTGTTCTTGGATTCAAGCTCAAGCTCGATGAACTGGTGAGCCACTAAAAGGAGGTGTTCATTGTATCGATCAGATGATGATACGGCTGGTGAACACATCTTGCAGGGCATTTGGATCGGGATGCTAATTGGAACGTTGGTGCAGACCTCTGTTCTACTGCTGATTATGTTCAGAACTAAATGGCAGAAAGAGGTAACGAGTGTAACACATCGAAAGTTTAGCCCCTTTTTTTTTCGAAGATTTTGTTTTATTTTTATTTCTTTCGTCTTTGATCGACAGGCCGCGAAAGCCGAAGAGCGCGTAAGAGAATGGGAAGGAAGAGTCGAGCTTCAATCCATCTCACGAAGTTGAGAACTGCTTCATGTCGAGTGCATTATATGACAAACTACAGCAATTTGGACAAATCATTACCTCATTGTTCTCTATTCTTAGCAGAAAACACATGTAATCATCAATTAGATCACTTCCAGATTCTGAAACGTTCTAATTTTTCAGGAAAAAAAAAGAAGAGAAATGAGATCTACAAAAAGTTATTAGTTTAACTAAGTTTACAGTATTCAATTTTTTATTTCTAGTATCTATTAAGGTTTTTCCCTATATTTTCTCTCCTCGTACTATTAACATTAATCATTTTTATCCTTTTTGACTATCGTATCCATAGTTCTGCCGAGCACATGTTTATATCATATTAGATAATTCTCTCTCGTCTAATTCTCTAAGGAAGCTTTACATAATTATTCATACAAAAAAATATTTTTTCTTCTTACCCTTTTATCTTTTCTGGTAACTCCATATATCCATCTCGATATTCTCATCATAATAATATAATTTTTTAATTATCTAATACTTAAAATCATAAAGCATTACTTTGTTTTTATTATATAAGTAAGTCACTTGATATTTGAATTATTGAATTCATTAGGAGTGAGCCTAAAATATCTTCTAACTCTAAACCTAACTAATTTTGCTGGTTATATAAACTTTGACTACAGTAAATGTTGAAAAACAAAACTGTGGCATCAAAAGAACAAATACAAAAATAATAATAAATTATAATACAACTCCAAAAATACTTAATAAGCATAAGATTTGGGTGGCATCATTTGACTACATCCATAAGGAAAAATTCAAATTATTTTACTATGAAGAGCAATAATATTGTCACATAATTCTTGAAAAAAAAAAATTTCTTTGTTTGAAAATTTTCTGTCCTCTAATCACTATTTTCAATGAAGGAATCCAAGAAATACTAACACTAAGTCGGTTGCCTTATCATGTTGTATCACCTTCTCTTGAAAGCAGCTAAGCTACGTACTGTGTAGGCCAGTCCAAAAGTTACACAGCACATCGAACAAACACTTGGCGTGCAAGAGGGACCGACAAAGTACACAGAGCTAAGCAATTCTCCCACGAAGCTCCCTCGAACTTTCATGGCGTACCGGCTCTCGACGTAATCCCTCTTGCACCGCAACTTCCATGCAATTTACGACCCTCAGCTTCGTGTGCATATATATAGCATCGCTTAATCCACAGACAATGGCCATGGCAACCATGTCTTCTAAGCTATCCAAATCCCTCTCTCCTAAGCGATCCAAGCTTAGTCTGCCGCTCTGTTGCAGCCAGGCTGATGCCGCTGCCCCCGTGGCCTCGCCTCCCCCCTCCTCCCCACGCAGGGATCGCATCGATGAGCTCCTCCAAGTCTTCCGCCACATCGATCAAGATCGGGATGGGAAGATCTCCGGCGTGGAGCTGCTCGGTTTCTTCGGCTCCATAGGCGAGGAGATGCCGATGGAGGAGGCGGAGGCGGCGATCGCCTTGCTCGACTCCGACGGCGATCGGCTTCTGGACTTTGGGGACTTCCTGAGGATGATGGAGAGGGAGGAGGAGGATGACCTGAGGCGGGCGTTCGAGATGTTCGAGGTGGTGAAGGGGTCGGGGAGGATCACGCCGAAGGGGCTGCAGAGAATGATGAGCCGGCTCGGCGAGGAGAGGTCGGTCGAGGACTGCAAGGCCATGATACGGGCTTACGACCTCGACGGAGATGGCGAACTTGACTTCCATGAGTTCCACCAGATGATGAGTTAAGAGTGTATATATATCTACTCAATCATCTAAGTAGCTTAAAAGCTTGTAAATTAGGCTATACTATATGAATAACAATGAATCCTCGCACTATATCTAAGTTTTAATATGGCAGAAAATATTGTCATATTTATGTGTGTGTGTGTGTGTGTGAGGATAATTAAGGATGCTGGTAATTGATAACAATTTTGATTTTTTTTCTGTGAATATAGATTAAGGGTGTACAACCATGTGATTCATATAAATCTTATATCAAAATTTTTTTATATTTTTATTATTAATCTCTTGATTTTATTTTTTTTGTTTCGAGTGCTTATTTCCCTTTTTCCAATATTGTTCAGAATAATAAAGCAAGGTGAGATTAAAAACTAAAACAGTTGGGTGAAAATGATAAAAACAGTCAGTAATACAATGAAAAAAAACTAAATTAGATATATTATTTTATAAAATAGCTTAAGTTTACAAAATATAATGGATAGTGATAGGAAATACATACTCAACCAATCGTAATTTAATATGTAACCACCACGCCGAGTCTAGGGTAGAAAGAAAAGATGGAGGACACTTTCCACCTACCCATTCATGTCGATAAGAGTCTATGCCAAATGATTATGGGTTGTCCTCTCATTTTGTCGCCCACATGGAGAATAAGTCAAGGAAAAACTAGAACATCCCACGGAATATTCTATGCCCTTTACGACCAAGCACAAAAACCCATCTTCAAGTAGGGGGAAAGGGGGCATACCTTTTTTGACTACTCGCATATGCACTCATACACATTGAGTTATTAACTGAGGCGTCGAATGGATCAAATAGGAAAATCTCTCTCGACCTTGGTCTTAATTGTAAGTCGCACCTCAGGAGTTAGACGTTTTCACCTTAGATAACCCTATGCATATGAGTCTGGACCACATCGAGCTAACCAAGATGTCAACAATATTTTTTCTTATCATTTTTTAAGTTAGAAGTAGAGCCCAATGTCACAGAAACACTCACCCATTGACACAATATTTTCATTCAAGAATGATAGTGTTGATTTCTAGATTTTGATAATGAAATCAATTGATGAGTTTATAAACTAATAAGCATTTGAGTTAAGTGATGCAAGAGAAACTTCGATCATAGACTTGAACCATCGAAAGATACATTGTTGAAGTAAGAGAATCATACGTTTGGCCGGAAAGCATCATGTCAGAGATTGGACGTCGAGCTAGAGGATTGGCCGACGTGCCAAAGGATGAACTTTATGCCATGAGTTCAGGCATCAAGCCAGAAGGATTGGGTATTGTTCCAGAAGATCAGATGATGTGAGAGGTCTATACGTCGGGTAATACGCCAAAGAAAAAGACGATACGTTAGAGGTTAAGACGAAGTGTCGGATGAGCAAATGTCATGCCAAACAATGTACTGAAAACTTCATAAGTGGTTATATCTTGATCGGAGTGGCTTAGAGTCTAATTGAGTTGGTTGTAGGCTGTAACTATGTCAACTTAATTAGAAATCCATTAGGCTTGAACCAGCACTAAATTGAGCATATTAAAAGACTAATTTAATGACATGGGGTTGGGCTAGGCAATGGTACTACTTGTGAGTTGGAAAGTACGAATTATGCTTTTCTAAAAATCCCAATGGTAGTACCGCCAATGTCAACGGTAGTATCACCCAAGCAAGCGATGGTACCACCAAAGCCTAGGTTCCTAGCTCTATACGGTGGTAGCATCGCCCAGCGTAGGCTTGAAAAACCTGAGATTTAAATTTTTGACTCTATTTTTGAAGTCATTTGGGGTTTATAAATACCCTACTCATGCTTGCTTGGTAAAGCATGAAACTTTATGATTTGAAGTGTATAAACTCTTTTGAAAAGTGTTGAGTCTCTTCCTCATTGAGTTTAAAGATTATTCTAAGGGAGGTGTGAGGTTTTCTTATAAAAGAGATGTGTGAAGGTTCTCTCCTAAGCCTATGAAAATGAAAAGAGTTGCAACAAGGGTAGTTAATCCTCGTTTATTGAAAAGAAAATCGGTAGTGAAAGTCGATGGCCTTGAGGAAAGAAGAATCAAGAGTGGATGTAGATCAAGACAATAGAACCACTATAACTGTGGTTTGCATTTCTCTTTATGCTCTTTCTTACTATTACTAACTGATTTAGTTGCTCACTATTCTTACTCACATTTTACATATTTTCGATATGTATTTTTCGATAAAAAAATTTCAAATTAAAACTTTATTTCGAAAGCACTAAAACAAATGCAGATGCTAACAGGCATGTTATAAGTCATTGCCCCACTTTTGTACTAGTTAGCATAACATGCAACACCATGAGTTCAACCATGATCACTATCTCAACCGCCACAAGCTCCAACACCCATCGATGTTCCTCCACCTGACTTGGTGTCGACATCTCAAGAGCACAAAAGACTCATCGAATTGTTGGTCGAGAGGGCACTTTGCTCTCCAACTAGTACAATAGATCACACCACTACTCTATCCTATATGAATTTGAGACTTAATTGGTAGATTCTATGGAGGATTTCTTTTAGATTCAAGTATAACAAATGGATCAATGTTTAAATGAGATACGATAAGAGTTTCAACAATCCAAAGGGAGATGCTGGTTGACCCCACCTTGGGTTAGTCATCATTCACCTAGAAAATCTAAGAAAAATCAATTTTGCTAAACTTTCACCTCCTGTTGTTAGAAGCATTTGATGATAGTGTCAACTTGATGGAGCACATTACAGTTTTTTATGATAAAATTTCATTGTATGACACTTCAGATACCCTAATATGTCGCACCTTTCCAACCACGTTAAGAGGCCCAAAATGAGAATGGTATATTTGCTTGAAGTTACTTTATATCATCTCTTTTGCCTAGCTCGCGAGAGAGTTCAAACTTAACTTCTTTAGAAATGTACACTCGAGACCATCAGTAGTGACGCTTCTTGGTCTCAGATAAGGGGAGGAGGAGACACTAGTAGACTTCATCATATGCTTTACTAATGAAATTCGAAATGTAGTAGATATCCATCCATCGCTTATAATATATACATTTATGATAAGTCTCAAACTCTCTTATCTCTTCTGGTCATTAGTGGAAATGCCAATGGCAATAGTGCTAAAGGTACTTCAGAGGGTTAACGAGACAATATTCTCTGGTAAATATAAGAAGTCACACAAGAGGCCGAAGTAAAAGTGAGCATAATCCATCTCGACCTCGAGATCACCAAGGCGAAGGAGGAACAAATGACCTGAGTTACCTTGCCCAAAGTCCAAGCCGACCCCCTGAATATGTCTAGAAGTAAAGTTATTCTATAAATAAAAAAAGGGCTCTTAAAAGATTCTCACCCAATGAAAACTCAATTAGCAAAAAGAGATGGGTTCAAATACTATCAATTTCATCAGGATTATGATCATGAAATATAGGATTATCGTAAGTTGAAAGAGAAAATTAAAAGACATACATCAGGGACACCTCGGGTGGTTCATCTGAAAAGTGTCGGGAACCCTCACCCTGACCTCAAGGGTCAATGGAAAGATAAATTTGCATCATCATTAGTAGATTAGCCTCAGGAGGAGATAGCTCTTCGGGTCATAAAGCTTATGCCTGAGCTACCATTGAAAAATGCTCGAAGATAGAGGCCAATCTAGAGATAACCTTCAAGGAGGAAGAGACAATATCTCGACCTGAACAATGATGATACTTTTGTAGTTTATAAAAGGATGATCAATACTCGGGTGAAGTAGGGCATGATCGATACAAGTAGCTCAAACCAATAACTTCTACTTAGATGATTTCCAAAAACTCCAGCTCTCAACTAACGACCTTACCCTTATGACTTCTTCGTTGACTTTACCTCTATGACTTTTTCGTTGACATGATTCATTGGTGATTTTGTCTCCCCTATCGAGATTGTGAATTTGTATGTCATATTCGAATATAAGCCTTGCTCCAAAATGATACTAGCTAGATTCATGATGGTGGACATTTCTCTGTTATAAAACGTAATCATTAGCTAACCTATGTTGAACAAATTGAGGGTGGTGGTATAGACCTACTATATGGTGATGAAGTTTTCAGTGAGAATTGACATTTGAGAGCTAAGAAGCAACCCAAGGGAGCCACGCTAGTGTTGCTTGATGATCTTCCTACCAAAGAAGGTCTAATCCAAGGCACCACCTATGGACCCCCAAGACTTTGCCAAGTTCACCCTACATCTTAAATCAGTAGAATTGCTGATTGAAGCACTCCTAAATAAAGCACGACCTCATCAAGTTGTCAAGGTTAGGGCAACACTCCCCTTGGAAAGATGGGTGCAACTCACTAACTTTCTTCTAGAGAATGTTGAGGTGTTTGCGTGGTCACCGAGATACATATTGGGAATCAACCCCAATGTAGCTCAGCATCACTTGAACATTACTCTTGATGCACAACTAGTGAAGCAAAGGCTTTATAAGTTTACTCTCGACCGCCAATAGACAATTAGTGATGAGGTAGATAAGTAATTAAAAGCTGGGTTTATTATCGGGGTGTAGTATCTCCAATAGTTTACCAACGTTATACTCATTAAAAAATCTAATAAAAATTTAAGAATATGTCTTAACTATGCCGATCTCAACAAGACATGTCCGAATGACAACTATCATCTTCCTCATTAAAGGTCACTAGCTCTTTACATTTATGGATGCATTCTCAAGGTATAATAAAATTAGAATGGCATCAAAGGATCACGAACACACTTCTTCTATCATCGATTGATGCACATATTGCTATCAGATCATTGACCTATGCCTCCCTCCTCTTTTCTTTGAAGAGGACCTTGAACTTCGGGGGCCTTTTGAGGATGCTGGCACCTTAAAATAAAGAAGCACTTCATTTGACTCATCTACAAGAATATGATCCCCCTTAGGTTCCTCATCCCATCGAGAGTAAGCCACCTTCTTCATGGCCCTCTTCTTCTTTGACTTGTTAGTGTAGGAAGGATGGTTAGATCGAGTTGGGCCTAAAGCTTCGAGGGATGACTCATGAATAGTAGTTGAAGGAGCCAAAGAGCTACCATCCTACCTGAATAGGAACTAGTTCTTTTCTTCTTCAAAGGTCTATACTTACAAAAGATCAAAACCACGAGGCTATATGAGTTAGCTTTCTTTAAGGTACAAAATGAAAAGAGGAGGCCAAGATGTTTAAGTTATATCTCAAGGAGCCAAGCTGAGACCAGCATCGATCAGTTAGTTATTGTCCATCTTTTGAACAACCTTAGAAAAAAAGAGTATATCTCTCATCTAGAGCACTTGATCTGCCTCCCTATTCAATAAGAAGGGAAATGTATTAGTAAGGGGGTGTGCTGACCAGGCGAGGTTGAACCTCTAATCCTGATATGAACCTATAAGGAAAAAATCATTCATTCTATCTCTTATTGTTGGAAAAGGTTCCACTAATCTTGAAGCCATCCCGAGTAGCCAAATAGTAGTAGTTTTTTTCCTCATAATCAAAAGTAGGCAACATAGAGTGTGTGAGTCGGGTTACTATCGATAAGATGACATTCTCTGATTAACACTAAGTAGCGCTACAAGTTGGGCACTATATGTAAGGTGATATCCTCCACCATTGGAGACAAGATACCATCACTAAGTCGAAGGAAAAATTAAGTGTCGCCTCTAGAGTGTCAGAAAATAAGTAAATGGACCAAAACATAGGGTCGAATAGATGATAAATGGGCTAAGGGATTTGTAGATCAAGTTCAACTGAGATGGAGTACTTGGTCCATAAATGATCCAAGAGTTATGCACTCAACATTTAGTATTTGTCGTATATACTTTTCATATACTGTAGGGTTCAAAGAACCTTAGGGTTCACGAGAATTAACTCCCCTAATGAGGGAGAGGTCAGGAATTTCCCTACCCTTGGGATGTCCAAGGACGAAGCATTGATCTCCCGATTGCTAGTTGGGGAAATCTTATCTTCTATCATGCCCCCGCAAGATGGTACTCCTGACAAGGATACCAATCTTGGATCGATGCAAAATATGGTTTACAGGCGAGATGTTTCATGAGTAGGGCAAGAGCATATTGCTGCTACTATTGTTGTTGCTACAGTTTCGACGACGATGGCTGCGGTTGCGATGTCAGCGGCTACGATTGCGACGACGGCGGCGGTTGCGGTTGCGACGACGATGATTGTGGCTGCGACGGCTGCGATGATGGCAGAGGAGAAATCTATAGTAATGTTGCAGTATTGCTACTACAACAAAGGAGGAAGCTGCAACATAGGAGGAAGGTGCAGTAGAGGAGGAAGCTGCAACAGAGGTGCAGCAGAGGAGAAAGCTGCAGCAAAAGAGGTAGGAGGTAGCTACAGCGAGGAAGAAAGGTGGGGCAATGCTGGTGAGCACAGCACTAGAGACGCCATAGATGAAGGGAACGGACGTTGGCACAAAGTGGCAGTGGAGAAGACAATTGTCGTTCGCCGAAGAGGAAAGATTTGTCGCACCGATGGGCTGACGATGGAAAAGCAATGGTAGAAAGTTTTTTCTTTTGCCGTCAGAGATGGAGAAGCAACAATGATAAGTCGACAGCGAGAAGAGAGAAGAGAGCTTGCTCTAGGTAAGCAATGAAGTAGCTTGAATGCATTAGCATGTCCCTCTCCTATTTATAGGGATTAGAAGGGAGGATTTTCCTCAATAGAATAGAGGATTTTCCTCAACAAAATAGATAAGATTTCCTCTATTTGAAAAAATCTTATCTTCTATCAATTATAATGGGGTTTAATCACCGGATAGTCAACACCATAATTGGCCAGTGGTCAACAAAGAAGTCCCATCATATCTGCAACCAAATAAGTTGTCTGATTTGACTGAAGTATATATTTGTCTGTGAGATGCTCACATTCTCGCTTTTGAATGTGCAATGGACATGAAGAGGACCACGATCAAGAAGAGCTCTGTCTGAGAATTCAAAAGGTTTCGAAGATAGACAACATGGCATCATTCAGTACAAGGAAGTATCCTCCAAAAACAAGAAAGTAAAACAAAGAAGATGATATGAATTCATATGCTCCAAACAGTCCCCCAAAAACAAGAAAGTAAAACAAAGAAGATGGAATGATTTCATGCACTCCAACATATCCTCCAAAAACAAGCAAAACTTGACAGAAGAGTTGTGGTCAACAAAAAGTAGTTGACTAAGTAGCCTCAGATATATAAAAACATATCAAAGAGAATCCTACAAAAAGATAGATAAGACAGGAACAACATAAAATTTCATCTCTGATTGTTTTCTAAACAGCATGCTTTTTCACTCTATCCTGGGGCTGATCATAAGGCAAAGACATTAATTCAAAGAGTGCTGTAAAAATCTGAAGTGAATAGTTGAATGTTCAGAAGAGGAGGAAGGTGGATAGATACCAGACTAATTTGATTCAACAAATCATGGGTATGATCATGAACATTGACTTAGGCATCCAATCCATGTAAATCTTCATGATGTGCATGCAATGATATCAAGTTCAGCTGTTAAGATTGAGAAGATTCGAGTGTGAGAATATGTAAATAAAGCATACATCTGATTTCTCTGAAAACTCAATATAGCAAGATTGTCACTAGTTAACAACTCGAAAATTTCTTTCATAGCTTACAAGCAAACATAATCATAAAATGCAATCACATCTCCCAGACAGAGAGCACATCACTCAGTAATGCTTGCACACATATGTGCCATTGAACTGATACCATGCAATTGAGAGGTAGGCATTCTGTCTTCCAGCCTAAAGTCAAGCTTTGCCTGACTGCAGATCGCTCCCGTGCTGTTCAACATAAGGCCTGATGAATGTCCTCCTCCACCAGACCTCAAAGGCTCTCTGAAGATTAGGACAGTTATCACTAGCCTTCAGGAAACATCCCAACCAAGACAGCAGAATGCTTTGCTGGTCTTCTAAAGAAAGCGTTAGAATCGTTCGGCCAATTCCTTCCTCCACCACTTTTCGATCGAACGATCTGCTACCATGCTGTAACCAGCTATAGTCATTGATCAGTGGCTGCAACCATACATGTAACAGCAGCTTGCGGGTTTCCTTCGAAGGAAGCATCTCGCCATTTCCGATTCCAACAAAGAGCCTGCAGGTGATGCAGCTGACCAGGTGACGGGACATGGTCGGCACCTTCGTGTGCAGTTCTGCAAGTTCATTCTGGCTAGCCCACATCAATGTGAATTCATCTGCTGCATTCCTGTCAACCAAAATTTCAAGTAACCAGATGAGATTATCTGCCTCGAGAGTGATCTGTCGCACCACAGGATCTTTGCTCTCCAAAGATCTATCAGAAAAACCGGGCTCAGAAGCTTGTCTGAATAGATTCAGCAGTGATTCTAAGCATCGCTGGCACGAACTGTATAAACTTTCAGTGCAAATCTCAACAGTTCCATTTGTCTTGAGGTTAATTTCCTTCAGAAGTTTCAACACTAAGGATTTCATTTCCCGTCGACCTCTATCCTCAGTGCTTTCAAGGACTAACTCCATTATGTGAGAGAGTGTGTCATTTGGTTGGTTGGATAGATCAGAAGCTACTCGGTTTAGTATAGGACTGATGCCATAGTTGTCATCCTGAAGTCGTCGAACAGATGAGACAACATCATCTTCTTCTTCTCCAATCCATGGTGCTGCTTCCAAGTAATCCAGGCATGACTTGATGCATGCTTGGAAGCCAAGCGTTTCAGCAACCTGTAAAATACTGTCCTCTATTAAGTTGGGTAAGTAGCACTTTCATCAAGTTCTACGATGTTAGTAGCAGTGAAAGAGATAACAATATATATAAGCTCCTCACTTGATACAAAAAATACATGCTATGATAAAGCCAGCTATCTATGAAGCTACTGCAAAATGTTTATCTACATTCATGGTTTATGTAATCTGTGTTTCTGTAATCTGTTGCTGAAAATTTTCATCAGAAATACTACAAATTTACTCTTTAGGATTTACAAGGAATTCAGGTGCATTATCAGAGTTCATTTTCATCTCTGATTGCTTCATATTTGAAGCTCTGCAGTGATTAACTAATTGGCATCCCTTTATTTTAGGTACTAAAACTTAGGGAATATACTTAAGCTATTATCTACAAGTTAAATAGCAGAAAGAGAAACACTTGTAGGTTAACAGTTGCAATCCTTGGAGTCTACTAAGACTAAAACAATAGCAATGATGATACTTAAACAGCTCATTCTGATAGGCTGGTGAATCATTTGTTTCTGTGATAAGAATCATCTTTCCTTGCACAAAATGGTAAGAACCTCCTCTTGAAGCCAAATATCATATCAGCATTGTAGTACTAAATACTAGTCAGATGACCACAAAGATTATAGAAATAGATGGCAAATATTATGCAACAGCTGAAGACAATGATGTAATTGTGATGGACCAACAAACCTTCAGAATACGAAGTACACGAGAAACACTTTGTTTGATCAGTCTGTGTTTAATGTCTTTGCAGTACATCAACCCCACGGTCTCGACAAAAATTTCCACATCTTCGCAGTCTGCCATTTCGATTTGGGGCACGGACAACCCAGAGAGCTTATCTGCAAAGAAGCTACTGTTTTCTGCAAGAATGTTCTTGTGAACACTCATCCTCACAGAAGTACCTCCCTTTCCATGCAGAGTAACTTTCAAGTCACTGGTCTCCAGCTGACCAAAGCCGACCGATATCTTGCGTTGCTGAGATTCAACATTTAGCTTCTGGGGTCTCTCAGGAGCCTTTGATGATACAGGAGTAGCAGTGCTAGAGTTGGGACATCTCTGCTCATCAGAAATGAGCCTCGACCTCAGTGAAGTAGAGACTGATCTTTTGTCCACAGGGGGAAGTGATGGCCTCTGAAGAGATGAGGCCTTTGAGTGCAGTGGAGATGTGGCTCTGTGTCTGTCTTGAAGATTTTGATTCTTAAGGGTCTTCTGGATGGCTGCAGGAGAGGGACAACACCAGAATCCTTCTGGGGTTACTGCAATGGGAACATTTCTGATCCTTGTGTGGCCTTGTTCAAGCCTTCTGAGTGTAAACTCTGCCATTCTAATGTCTGCTTAATGGTGTCTTTCTAAGAGAGAAATCACATTGAGGTTGTCAACTGTGAGTTTGACAGCTTAGAAACCTTCAATTAAGATGAAGAACATCAAGTTGTGTTTCTTACAAGATGAATTCCTACATATAAACCTGCATAAGCAACAAGAAATTTACTTCAGCAAGCTGGGTATCCTGTTCAACCTCAAAAAGAAAGAGAAAAAAGGAAGAGAAAGGGAGGATGAAACATAATCAAATTGCAGATGACTATGTCTAGAATACAAGGCAAGGGTTCCAACTTGAACTCCATTTCTCTCTAGAACACCTAAAGATTCTACCTTTCCCTGTTCATATCTCAGAGAAGAATGAAGATTTGAAGTTTTGGAGTGTAAGGAACCTGTCTTGTGGATGACATACGAAACATACAGAGAAAGAATTCAAGAAAATGCAGTAAGATGTCGACTTACCTCATCTCCTAAGTCAGCCCCTTCCACTGCCCCCCCCCACCCCTCCTTTACTCCATGTCTCTTCTTTCTCTTTTGGGGATACTAATGATGAAACCATGGTCCAATGCCAAGCATGCAGCCAACAGGAGATGGACGGAATCACAGATAGCAATGATGGCTCTTTCAAATCATTTCCTCTGATTTAGGGAGCGAAAAAGATGACAACTTTAGTTCAAGCAAATGAGAGTAAAACTACTTTCCTCTCCCCAAACCATTGTATTACTCTGAGACTTGGACACCACCTTTATAGAATGCCAAAAGAGATGTTATCACAGCCTCATTCCTCTGTTTCACAATCCCTGCAATTAATTCTACTCAGGCTCCTCTCTGTCTCTAAATTGAGCTTTGGATGAGGAGTTTGATTATAAAGGAAGCCTGGGAGCTTGCTCGAAATGTGCTTACTGTTCACCAATATCCAACTCTCGAGTCCCAAAAAGAATAATGTTAACATATGTAAAAGGTCACAGACAACAAGAGATTCAATGTTTGGAAGAAGTAACTAAGCCTTTTTGGGTTGTTTGATAGTGTTTATTAGAACTTCCTGAGGCCTCCTCACTCTGTAATGCAAAAACAAGAGGGTAGAACAAGAAATAGGACATGAAAAGGTGGAAGGTTGGAGCTTAGTGGAATAGGTAGAGTGCACATGGTTGTGTGGAATGAGTCTTAGAAGTGAAGATGCCTTCTCTAAAATATTTTGACTCTTATAAATTATTTGGAAGACTCTCTAGAGACTGATGATAGCTTTGATTTTAAGGAATGATCTGTCTAATGAATTAAAAAGACTGCTTCCATGTTCCCTCACAAGTCTGTCTGGGTTTTGTTCCTAATCTGACTTAACCTGTAGGTTTCCATCTAGAAAGCAAATGTAGAATTTTATGGTATAAAACACTGAGATAGTAAATTCTGCTCCTATACAATTTGACCACTAAGCTTGAACATAAGAATTGATGTGACATACCATGGCATACTTGCAGAAAAGTCACCTTTCTTACCCTTACTAACTACGTTTCATTTCCTCTTACATGTCATGATTTCAGAGATATGCATGTTCACAAGTTAATTCTTGATAGAGGAACAGGGAGAAAGTAAAATGACAGTAAGTACAGTGACCTGAGCAACCTGAAGACCAGATTAGTGATTGGTATAGTCTGATAGCTGGTGCACATCAAGTGTTTGTCAAAATTTGAAACTCTGTGACAGCAAAAACAAGAGCAGCCATCAGCCTCATGTGGAACCTTCTGCTTTTAGACTTGTCTGATGGAACCCCAGGAGCAACAAAAGCAGTCATTCCTGTGGTACCTGTCACTGCAATCTCACACAACTAATTTGTTTTTGCAGTACCATGCGAAAGAGACTGCTGTGACTGGGAAAGCAGAAGCAAAGAAACACAAAGAAAACCAGAGAGTTGGGGATTGGTACCACTGCATAAATAATGCCTCCTCTTTTGACTCTGCTTTATTGCCTTACTTTGGAGCTCAGCTGTCACACTTGCAATAATGTCTTTCTGTTAGTCGAGTTTTCATTTGATACTCTTCCAAACAAAGAAAAAGGAAAAGCTACCTTTTTTCAGAAAACATAAATTGTATTGATTGAAAGGTCACATAAAACATTAGTTCATTCACCATTCTAATGCTTTGCAGAACAGGGATACCTGCAAACATCTATCTTCCCTGCAAAATTAAGGCTCCCGACATCATTAACCAGACAATCTTGCTTGCCAGTAGTTTGCACAGTGAATTTGAGAATGTTTCTCCAGCTAATTCTGTAGCTACAAGTGTCATGGTTTTCATTTTCCAAAGTGATTCGAGTGGAAGAACATTTCAGGAGCTACCATCCTTTTTTTATCTTGAAAACTGGAATGAAAGATTAGGAAGGACATGGAAAGGCTGATGGATACATGTTGAGCGGGTATGGATGCTCGAGTCTACAACACAGATGCCTACAACCATGTAATCGTCTATTGCCTGAACAAAAGAAGAATAGACATCAACTTCCAACATTCACACAATCAAACGGGTCCGGTGAAATCTAAATCGTACGTTGGAATCCGACAGAATCTGTTGTTTCTCCTGGACTCACAGGGATCATTCAAAGCTTTGGTTGGATGGTGCCATGGAAGTGCTCCAAACAAGAAAACATGCACTGATATGAGGAATAAGACCTAATGGAACGGGGACGATGGCGTTCTGACGTCCATGGGAGTCAAAGAAAGAGACGAAGTCACAGTGCCTAGACTGCCGTGCATGTGTCCGTCCGTGGCCGAGGTCCCTTAGGTCACAAGGGCTTCATGTGCAGGAAAGCAAAGGGGTGGTGATCGAGCAGGAGCTGCACTCCGTGACGCGGCCCTTGTTTCTTGCGCCAAGTTGGCCGCTGTGGCTTGACCTCGCCCACGGCGAAGGGCGTCATGTGGGTGTGCAGTGCTCGCTCGGGGTTGCACGCGTTGCGACATTGCATTCCCCCTTGCCGCTTTGTTCGTTTCTCCCTGCCCTTGGAATTAGGGTCAAGTAGGAACCCCGTGAGGGGATGGTGGTGTTAAACGTTTTGTTTCAACATGTATAGAAGAACTAGGAGAACAACTCACAGATCCATTGTCGTCTAGTCCGGTTAGGATACCTGGCTTTCACCCAGGCGACCCGGGTTCAAATCCCGGCAATGGAAAATATTTTGTTACAAAAATTGGTTTTTCTTATTATAGTTTTTCTTTCAAATGATTTATTGATCTTTTACGGTTGGACAAATTCCTTTTTAAAAAAAGCCCTAAGTTTTTTTTTTTTTCCACTTAGTCTCCCTTTTTATTATTTTATTCCATCGAGTATTTTTTATTTTCTGAAAGATAAGATTACCCTTGATCTATGTCCCGTTATAATCGTCTTTGCTCGAATGCTCTATTATAGTCATATTTACTTTGTCATCGTATCACGTGTCATCTCTATGCGATCGCAACCACCCCTTTGAATGGTCACCACCTCCTAGGTAGGACCCAAGCTCCACCCTCGTGAAACGTGAAACCTACATCCCGACACTTTTTATTTTCTATTAAGTATTTTTTTATTTATTCTATCGAGCATATTTTATGTTCTTAAAGTTGAGATTACCCTTGATCTATGCGCCGCCATAATCATCTTCGTTCTGATACCCTATTATAGTCACATCTATTTTGTCATTATATTATGTGTCGCCTCTGTGCGACCGTCCCCACCCCATCGAATGGTCACCACCTCTTTCTACATAGGACCCAAGCCTCACCCCTATGAAACGTGAAGTCTTTATCCCCGGCACTTTTTATTTTTTATCGAGCACTTTTTATTTTATTTTATTGCGCTTTTTATTTTCTTAAAGATAAGATTAAGACTACAACTCACAGATCCATTGTCGTCTAGTCCGGTTAGGATACCTGGCTTTCACCCAGGCGACCCGGGTTCAAATCCCGGCAATGGAAAATTTTTTGTTACAAAAATTGGTTTATCTTTTGGACAAATTCCTTTTTAAAAAAAGCCTTAAGTTTTTCTTTTTTTCCACTTAGTGTCCCTTTTTATTGTTTTATTCCATCAAGTATTTTTTATTTTCTGAAAGATAAGATTACCCTTGATCTATGTCCCGCCATAATCGTCTTCGCTCTAATACCCTATTATAGTCGCATCTACTTTGTTATTGTATCGTGTGTCATCTCTACGCGATCGTCATCACCCCTTTGAATAGTCATCACCTCCTTTTGCGTAGGACCCAAGTCCCACCCTCATGAAACGTGAAGCCTCCATCTCGACACTTTTTATTTTCTATTAAGTATTTTTTTGATTTATTCTATCGAGCACATTTTATATTCTTAAAGATGAGATTACCCTTGATCTATGCCCCGTCATAATCATTTTCGTTCTGATACCCTATTATAGTCACATCTATTTTGTCATCGTATTGTGTGTCGCCTCTGTGCGACCGCCCCCACCCAATCGAATGGTCACCACCTCCTTCTACATAGGACCCAAGCCTCACCCTCATGAAACGTGAAGTCTCTATCCCCGACACTTTTTATTTTCTATCGAGCACTTTTTGTTTTATTTTATCGTACTTTTTATTTTCTTAAAGATAAGATTACCCTTGATCTTTGCCCCGCCATAATCTTCTTTGCTCCAATGCCCTATTATAGTCGCCTCTGCATGACTGCCCCCACCCCTTCAAATGGTCATCACCTCATACGTAGGACCCAAGCCCTACCCTCGTGAAGCGTGAAACCTCCGACACTTTTTTTATTTTCTATCGAACACTTTTTATTTTTATTTTTAAGATGAGATTACCCTTGATCTATGTTCCACCATAATTGTCTTCGCTCTAATGCCCTATTATAGTCACTTATACTTTGTCATCGTACCGCGTGTCATCTCTACGTGATCGCCCCCACCCCTTCGAATGGTCACTACCTCCTTCTGCGTATAACCCAAGCCTCACCCCGTGAAACATGAAACCTCCATCTTCGGTACTTTTTATTTTCCATCGAGCACTTTTTATTTTATTCTATTGAGTATTTTTTTTATTTTCTTAAAGATGAGATTATCCTTGATCTATGCTCTACCATAATCATCTTTGCTCCAACATTCTATTATAGTCATCTCTACTTTGTCATCGTACCACGTGTCATCTCTGTGCGATCGCCCCCGTTCCTTTGAATGGTCACCATCTCCTGTTACTCGTGATGCCCATAGCCTTACCTCTTGCTTCCTCATTGCTTCGACCCCTTGCTCTCTTTGGACGCCTCCATCTTATCCCCTCTCGCACCACGCCCTTTGCGATAGTTTCTTCCCTTCCTTTCCATTAGATACCTAATCACTCTCATTATCTTCTCCTTAGCTAGCATCACTTCTTTTTTAACAAAGAATAAGTGGTGAAAGCGGGATTTGAACTTAGAATACTGTAATGATCCATGAAGGTCTTTGCCAACTAAGCTAGTCAACACCTTTGGTATCACCCAATTCATTTTGGTGTAGGATAGCCACCTGATCAATGACACACTATGTACAAGGCTCTCCAATTGTCAAGCTCCATCCATAGTGCATCATGAAACATCAGAGAATGGTGTGATCAAAGAGACCATGAACCCCAGGACTTTGGTCACCTTCAAGAAGTCATTGAGCAAGAAGCATTGGGGATCATCATTGTCATTGTCAACATCAAGAATGTTGTGCTCTCATTATAAGGATTGATGTCAACTCGCATCCAAGCCCATGACTAACTCATACACCTACGCTTGGGTGAGTGATCCTGGAGGTGACGGAGGAGCCTCACAGATGGCCGTGGCAACCATGCAGATGAGCAAAGATGACTATAATGAGTGAAAGGAATGAGGCCCTAGCGATACGGTAGAAGCAACCCATAGCTCAGTGTGATGAGATACAGACAATGATCAACCCTCGGGGGGAGTGTATTCTCGAGAGCTTTTATACATTGTACGAGGATTGATCGTACGTAGGTTTGGCGTGGCGGTCGATCCTCGAGGGATGAGACAGTACTTTCGTGCGATCGTCGTCTCAGGACGCACGAAACGACATCGGACGACGTCGTCCCGAACTTCCGAGACGGGACATACCAAATAACGTCTTAGTACGGGTTCTAACTTGGCGCATGGGGGTCCCGAACATCGATTGTGACATGTCTTGGACTCAAAATATACCTTATCACACCCATCGTGAATATGAAAGATCTAACTCCCCAACTTGAGAGTTTGATATAGTTTAGAGTAAATTTTTTTATGATTGCTAATATGGTCAGTTGTCATATCAATCTTTGAGTCAGTTTGCTCTGCCTTCGATGTTACCATTTTGTGGCTTTCTTTCCTAATGATGTGCTGCTTTCAGTTTCAATTCTCCTTTTAGGGTTTGACTAAGCAACAACTTCTTCAGTTCAATTGTTGTGGACATTAAAACAAAAAAATCTAATTTTACCATCGTATAATTCGAACTCGATTAATTAACGGGTCGGATCGATTCAAATAGATGAAAAACCCGACCCGTCGTGGTTTGTACCTTTATGGGCACATTTTGCCCGGCAAATTTTCCCCTCGACTCCCTCCTCCTCCTCCACGGCGGGCTCCGATGGTGGCGATTCGAATCCGAAGAGCAAAACCTATTCTCTCCATCCGTAACGCCTCCACCCGATTCGTCCACTCCTCTTCATCCCACCCGTCCATCGCCTCATCGATGGTGTCCGATCTCCCACATCTCGCCCCCGATGACGAGGCCGTCGTCTCCTCCGCCGTCTCCATCTTGCGGGAGCTCCGCTCCAAGCGCCGCTGGACCTTCCTCAAGTCCGTCCACCTGGCCGGCTTTTCGACCGCCCAGTTCGCTCACATCCTCCTCCGCATCCGCAACAACCCGCGCCTCGCCCTCGGCTTCTTCATCTTCTCACGCCGCCACTCCCTCTGCCGCCACGACCCCCTCTCCTTCGCCGCCGCCGCCCACGTCCTCGCGCGCCACCGTCGCCGCCCCGCTGCCCTCTCCCTCCTCCAGGCTGCCGTCCGCTCCCTCGACCCCTCCTCCTCCCCCTACACCGACGTCGAGGGGATCAACGGCCCGCCGGAGATCTTCAGAACCCTATCGAGGACCTATCACGCCTTCGACTCAGCTCCCTTCGTCTTCGACCTCCTCGTGCAGGCTTACCTCCAAGTCAAGCGGCTCGATCGGGCGGTCCAGATCGTTCGGATCCTGAGATCCCGCGGCATCCAGCCGTCCATCGGCACCTCCAACGCCTTGATCCGATCGGTGTCTCGCGCGAAGGGATCGGATGCCGGCTTCCAAATTTACAACCATATCTTCAAACCAGAACCTGCTGGCTGCGATGGAGTTGGTGTTAAGCTTAGGGTTTCTCCCAATGTGGGGACCTTTAACACCCTTCTCCTTGCTCTCCATCGAGAAGGGAATTTGGAGAGACCGAAGGAGATCAGAGACGAGATGGAGAGTGTTGGATGCGATCCAAACGTCTTCACCTACAGTATTCTAATGGCTGGATACTGCGACGAAGGCATGATGGATAGTGCGAGAGGATTGTGGGAAGAAATGGCAGCCAAGGGAATCAAACCTGATATCATGTCATTCAACACTTTGATCAGTGGTTACTGCAAGGTAGAAGAGATGGAGAGGGCCGAAGATCTCTACAGACAGATGATATTGAGTGAGATCGAGCCGACCGTGACCACGTTCGAGCAGTTGATTAAGGGCCATTGCAAGATTGGAGATATCGATTCCGGGCTTCTTCTGTACCAGGATACGAGGAGGAGGGGATTTGGGATGGAGGTCTCAGTTGTTGATGAGTTGCTTGTAGCAATGTGTGAGAGGAGGAGGGTTGCAGAGGGGTTGAGAATTTTGAGAGATGAGATGAGGAGAGAAGAGTTTACGCCGAGTCGGTTGAGCTATGAGGTGTTGATCAGAGGTCTGTGTGAAGAAGGGGATATCGAGCAGGCATTGAAGCTTCAGGCTGAGATGGCTGGTAAAGGGTTTGGAAACAGCTTCGAGGTCTATAGTGCATTCATACATGGATACAGGAAGCAAGGGGATATCGAGAAGGTAGAGAGATTAAAGGATGAGATGATTGTGATGGGTGTAGGAAAAGGAGAGTAGGTATCACTGATCGGAAACAAGCCACCTTTGTTCATAAGTTCTACGCTCGCTGTGCCATTGCCATGAGTGTGGAAGTCAGAAGTTAATGCAATTCCGCAACATGTTGATGGCTTCATATTGATTGGTGGGGTTCACTGTTTCTGTACAAGTACATGAAATTTGTATAGTATGGGGAGCAGGAAGATGCACAAATAATCTTTATCATCACACAAAATACTGATGCAGCATTTGCAAAAGATTGCTTTGCAGGAGAAGAACAGCAACATCAATGTCAATTAAATGGTTTGGCAGTAGGATGTGAAATAAATGGGCTAGCATCTGTCTGTCATATGAGCTTCAAAAAATTCTGCAGGTGATTGTTTCTGCAGCAAATAAATGTTGAAGTAATAACCAAGACCAGGGGAAAGATAGTGGGTCTTGATGAACCTCTTGCGAAGCTATGTATCAGATGGTCGGCTAGAGATGTCTGGTGATCCTCTCCCCATTCTGAGCCTTTAAACATTATGTTTTGAAGCTTCATTGTAAAAGCATGAAGATGAACTGAATTTTCTTTCTGAGCTTGTATTGATTAGAAGGAAACTAATACTGACAATACAGGATACTCGAATTTTGGAAACTAATTATATATTTTATATTTTTATGTTTTTTATACTTGAACTTATAAAAAGAGTTAGAACATTAGATGATGAGAAATGAATCAATGAATGAGTTTTCCTCACTTGTGTATGAGTTGTCCGAGGTCACATGTGTTCTCACATGCAAGATCTCTAGACATTCATCTTGGAAATATTCTTATTGAGCCATAGTTATACTTTTATTTTTATTATTTATTTGGTTATTATCATTTTTTCTCTTTTTATTCTCCTATTATAAGAAAAATTGTTGTTGCTCATCCTTTAACATCTTTTGACTACAATTTGATCAAATTGATCAAAAAGTACTATTTGACCATGATGTAATCAAATATGTCATGAAAAATACCATGACTACTATGAGTTCAAAATGACAAAAATGAATCATCCAAGAATTATTCTTCAATCATAATACAATCAAACTAGTCAAAATGCATTATTCCATAATGATGCAGTTGAATCGATCAAGAAGCATTCTTTAATTATGAGATTGTCGAATTGATATTATGAGATTGTTGAATCGATTAAGAGGCATATCGTATTATGAGATTGTTGAATCGATTAAGAGGCATTATTCGATAATAACATGATTATACCGGCGAAGAAGCATTTTTCGGTAACAAAAAACATCTTTCAATAATAGTGCATTCAAATTAGCCAAGAAGTGTCCTTCGAGCATAATGTAATCGAATCGACCAAAAAGCATAATCAAATCAATCAAGAAGCATATTTTGACTATGATGTAGTTGAATCAACCAGAAAGCATCTTTTAACCACAATATGATCAAATCGGCCAAGAAAAATCATATGACTATTATAAGGTCAAAATGGCGAAAGACATCCTTTGACAATAACATGGTCAAATTGTCACGACCCAAGTCTGATGAGCCAACTAGCCAATAACTCCATTTTGGTCCTTCAACCACGGATCAAAATGCTTAAGCGAGAGTTAATGTAGTACACTCATCAGGCCCTTATAAGCTAATCATACACATTGCCCACTTCCGATGTGGGACTAATGAGATGTTACACAAATCATCTAATGATCATTTTTCAACCATAATATAATCAAACCATTTAAATGCATCCTTCGACAATGATACAATTGAATCGATCAAGAAGCATTCTTTAGCTATGAAGCTATCAAACCAACTAAATAGCATTCTTCGAAAAATGATATGATGGTATTGGTCAAGAAACGTCCTTCAATCGCAAAGTAGACAAGAAGTGTCATTTGATGATAATGCAATCAAATAAGCAAAGAAGCATCTTTCAACCGTGACATGGTTGAATAAACCAAAAAGCATCATTTGACTATGATGTGATGGTTAAGAAAAATCCTAAGATTATTATGATGTTGAAATGGCGAAAAGGCATCTTTCAACAATGACATGATCAAATCATCCAAGAATCATGTCTCAATCACAACACAATCGAACTAACCAAAATGTAACCTTGTATGATGATATGATCGAATCAACCAAGAAGCATATTTTAACTATGAAGCACTTGAACGACCAAAAGCATTCTTTGACTATAACATGAATGTACTAGCCAAAAAGGTCCTTCGACTTCAATGATATGATATAATTAAATCAACCAAAAAGTATCCTTTGAAAACGATATGAACAAATCAACTAAGAAATATCCTACAACTACTATGAGGTCGAAATGACGAAAAGGCATCCTTCGATAATAATATGATAGTACCTATCAAGAAAAATCCTTCAACCACAATGTTGTTGAAAAATCATCTTTCATTAATGGTGTGATCAAATCAAACAAAAAGTATCCTCGACGATGCTTCAATTGAATCAACCAAGAAGCGTCTTTCGACCAATGACATGGTTGAATTAACCAAGAAGCATCTTTTAACCACGATATGATCGAATCAGCTAAGAAAAATCCAATGACTTTTGTGAAATTGAAATGGCATAAAAGAATCCTTCGACAATAATGTAGTCGAATCATCTAAGAATTATCCTTCAACCACAACACAATCGAACTATCCAAAGTGCATCCTTCGATAATGAAACAATCGAATCGACCGATAAATATTTTATAATTATAAACTGTCAAACCAACCAAAAAGTATTTTCCGACAATAACATAACTGTACTAACTTTGAAGCATCCTTTGAACATAAAGTGGGCGAAGAAATATATTTTAACAAAGGTGCCATCAAATCAGACAAGAAGTAGCATTCGATAATGACACAAATGAATCGACCAAGAAGCATTCTTTAATTATAAAGTTATCGAGTTGACTAATAAGCATTCTTTGATGATGACATGACTATACCAATTAAGAAGCATCTTTTGGTTGAAAAAGGATTTTTCAACAATGGTGCAATCGAATCAAACAATAAGTATCCTTCGACGATAACACAATTATATTAGCCAAGAAGCATCTTTCGATAATGATGTTGTTGAATGAACCAAAAAGTATCATTTAAGTACGATATAATCGAATCAACCAAGAAAATTAGTATGACTACTATAATGTCAAAATCATAAAAAGGGGCATCCTTCAACAACAATATGGTTAAATAAGCCAAGAATTATCCTTCAACCACAATACAATCAAACTATTCAAAATGTATCTTACACGATCGAATCTAATAAGAAGCATTTTTAACTATGAGGCTATCAAATTAATAAAAAACTATTCTTTGATAATGACATGACTATACTAGCCAAAGAAGTGTCCTTAGACCACAACATGGTTGAAAAAATATCTTTTAACAATGGTACAATTGAACCAAACAAGAAGTGTCTTTCTAGGATAACGCAACTAAATCAACCAAGAAACATATTTTGATAATGATGCTATTGAATCAATCAAAAAGGATCCTTTGACCACAATGTAGATGAATCAGCCAAGAATAATCCTATGACTACTATGAAATCAAAATTTTTAAAAAAGCATCCTTCGACAACGATATAGTCAAATCATCTAAAACTCATTCTTCGACCATAATACAATCGAACTAGCCAAAATGCATCCTTCGTGATCAAATCGAACAAAAAGCATTTTTTAACAATGAAGCAATTGAATTAATCAAAAATCATTCTTTTACTGGCCAAGAAGTGTCCATCAAGCACTTTTAATACTAGTACGATTAAATCGAACAAGAAGTGTTCTTCAACGATAACGCAACTAAATTAGCTAAGAAGCATCTTTTGACCATGATATGGTTGAATGAACCAAAAAGGATCCTTTGACCGTGATGTGATTGAATTGACTAAGAAAAATCTTACGATTACTATGAGATCAAAACTATGAAATGGTATCGTTTGACATCGATGTGGTCGAATCATCTAAGAATCATCCTTCAACTATAACACAATTAAACTAACCAAAATGCATCCTTTGATAATGATGCATTTTACATCGATGTGGTCAAATCATGTAAGAATCATCCTTCAACTATAACACAACTAAATTAACCAAAATGCATCCTTTGATAATGATACATTTTTTAATGATGCGATCGAATCGATCAAGAAGCATTTTTTAATAATGAAGTTGTTGAACCAACCAAAAAGCATTCTTCGATAATGATACGATTATACCAGCTAAGAAGCGTCATTCGACGACAACACGATCGAAAAAACATCTTTTCAGAAAGGTACGATCGAATCAGACGAGAAGTGTCCTTCAACTATAATGTAATTGAATCAATCAAGAAACATTTTTCAACCATGACATAATTGAATCAACCAAAAGGCATCCTTTGATAATGTCATGATCGAATCGACCAAGAAGCACCATTCAACTATAATATGATCAAACTAGCCAAAGACATCTTGTGAAAATGACACTTAATGCGACCAAGAAACACCCTACGATAATGTGTTCAAACCAGGAAGCAAGTGCGACAAACGATCAAAGTAGAAAGAGATATAACGAACAAACAAGAGCGATGGATGAGCAAGTGTAAAGAGCGAAAGATCGATGGACGAAAGAACAAGTGTAACAAGCAACGAACGAACAAGTGCGACGAGCATGTTGAAAAGAGGAGCGGAAGAAAAAAATCAAAATAAATTTATGAAAAATGAATAATTAAAAAAATAAAATAAAATTATTTTTTTATTAATAACCTTTTTCCCATGACATGTAATTTTTTCTATCAATAAAATTAACGACATAAAAAAATAGATTAAATATTTCATAAGTGTAAAAATATTAATGTTGCTTTTTAAAATATAAAATTCAAGATGTTAATCATAATTAATTACAAAAGATAATCTATAATTACCCGTATAGCTAATCACACAAAGCCCCATCAGTTGGTGTTGCTTCCCGCCGATTTATTTGTTTGAGATAGCATGAGTAACTAGGGCCCGTTATATAACGAACTCTGTGCATCTGCATTCACAGAACAATTAAAGCCAACATACAGCACTCAATAACTTGGTTTCTCAGAGCAATTTGGTGAACGACGACCGAAGTATATGTTTTAATATTCAAAAGATATGGAAACCCAAAATAGTCTTCTTGACGCATAGCCATAATAGATCAACCAAAAGCACCCTCTTCTTCATGGTATACTCCAACCTGTTGCAGGCAATTTATCTGTCATCAAGAACTGGGGAAAATTAATATCAAGAAAATTAGTAAAGAATGGTATGTCAAATAAGTGAACCAGCATTTTGCCAAAGCAAGAGAAAGAAAACAACCATGCATTAATACATAAAGTCAAATTCTTGAGAGTTAGCCACTATGTTGAAAGCTTGCAGAGAGTTCACAAGGACATAAGATCCAAGCTATAAAATGATGGCAGGTAAAAACGATGACAATCACTTTATGGATTTGATATCACAATATAACTTTTAGACACTATTGTTTGTCAGCTTGTAGATCCACAACTTCTAATTTAATAAGTGATATTATTCTTACAAGTAATTCAATCAGTGATATCACCAGAGTACTATTCTATCAAGAGGACCGTCTATCATCTCAAAATCAATCATGAGATCTCTATGCATCAAGTAGAATAAGGGATATGCAATTTTGATGATGTAAGAATATATTTTAATTTGATCAATATTATAAAAGTATGAAAACAAGTTTTGTTGTGTATGCATTTATCTATTCGACTCATTACCCAAGAGAACCTATATCATTGTTTTATGCATGAATATTTTTTTGAATCGTGATCCTACCGTCATATATCTCTTGATATATGACAGAGACATTATCGATGGTGACTTCAGTACTCAAGCTGCATCATATTTGCCAAGGAGAGATTTGTGATCAGGACTGACAACCATCCGTCAAACATATCATGGCACAGGACAAGTGGCTTTCAAGGTAAATTGGCTATGACTACGAGATTAAGGATTGGTGCACAACTGAAAAAAGAAAATCAAAGTATCTTTGGCATCTCTTGTAATGGTTTCTATCTGTTTTCCACTGACAACATCTTCTGTTTTCCTTTCATCTTTCTTGAAGAAGACCTTTTTTTTCTAGCGCTAAACAAACATTGATTAGGGGTTTGCTCTTTAACAAGTGGTGGCATTCTATTAGCAGACTATTGTTGTCACTTTCTCAAAATTGCTTGTATCATCAACGATGAAAATCAACAAGCAGGTTGGCTCTCTACATTTAGATAGATGATTCCTATTAACAGAACAAGGATGTCCCTTTTGATCTTTTAGTAATAATAAGGATTGACTAAACTTTTGTTTCTTCTGAAAGAACAATTACAGTGAACTAAGTTCAGCTTATATTACCTCAAAAAAAAAAATAGATTTATTAGTTCTGTTACTTATGATTATCAGTCTAAAAGGGCAATGAAAATGCTAAGGCATGCCCAAACAAACTAGGTCTGGATTTTTTCAGGTCAAGAATGACTTCCAAACAAATTAGGTCTGGATTTTTTTCAGGTCAACAATGACTGACCGATATTTAGATAATAATAAAATTATTCAATAAAACATAAGATTTGTATTCTTTCAAAGTATCAGTTGACATGGGTTTCATTAAACCATGGAAAGGAAACATAATTTCTGGATGATTGACCATCAATGGAATAGTAAAGAAGATATATTTCACTAATCAATGATATAGAAACATTCAACAACAACAACAACAAAGTCGTAAAGTGCAGATAGATCTTTTACTGTCAATAAGACATAAAAAAATCATATGTTTAGTTAAATTAAAAGTATTTAAAACTTTATTATAATTTCTATTAAATATTTTAGTCTTCCTCTTATCTATTCATAACACTAATTGTAATCGTTTCACCTCTATCTATTGCATCTTAAATGATTCTCCCTCATTTTATCATCTATTGAAAAGGCAAATAATTGTTCACAAATGAAAACATTTTTTTCCTATAATTTCGTATATCCATCTCAACGTTCTCAACTCAGCAACATGAATTTTTAGTATATATTGTTTATTAACTTTCTAACACTTAGATCGCATTACTGATCTAGCAACTGTCAAATAAATTTTTATTTTATACGATCACACAAGACTCTTGACGCCCCTCGCCATTATAGCCAACCTATTTTTACTCTATAAATAGTATCTTCAATAATCTCACCAATGTAAAACTCCATCAAATCTCATGAACAATGACACAAAAATATTATTAACATAAGATGGATCAACGCATTACATGACTAACAACAACAAGTAACATTTATAACTTTTTATCTTGACCAGGACAGGTCAGGAACTTTATAGTGGCAGTTATAGGGTTAGTATTTAATCAATAAGAATTAAACTTTAAAAAGAATATATATATATATATATATAGCACTAGATATGAAACAATTGTCATCTAAACAATGTATAATGACTGCAGACCATTGTAGCGGCCACTATCAAACCAAAACACTTTAGGATGCTACTGTATAATTATCATGCCATTTGGTCTTCTAAACTTATTTCACGGCTGCTGTAGCAGCTTATCCATAAGCAACATGCTGAGCCTTAAACAAACTTTTCTGAAGCAACCGAGTGATGAAAGGTGACAGCAGTATAGAAACAAAGAGGGTCGAGATTCCATATGACAGATGTATTGGCCAGTAGCAAGAATGTGAAATGGCGTATAGAGAGATATAACACAGAAGGTGACTCATTTCATACTCCATCTATGATACTAAACTGTTAATCTAGCCATATTTTTGTAAGGTTTCACCTTGCATCAAAAGTAAAGTCCCGTACTGTTCTATGGGCAACTTAAGATGTTGATCATGTGGTTCTTATGTCATAAAATTATTATTGAACTGTCAACAACCTAACCCTGTTTGTAACAATCAAAATACTGTAGAAAATTGACGGTCGTCATTCATGAGGCACACATTCCTCTTCTGACTCTAATATAAGACGAGGAATATATGTCAATGCAGTTCACAAGATCAGGTATAACCTAATGCCTGTACGTTTCCACATTATACTCTACAGTTCGACCCAACCACCTGTGTTAATGAAACTAACAAATCATTAGTCGAATACGAGAGATTGCATACATGAAGCATCAAATGCCCAAACAACCCTGACCTGAAGATGTAAATCCAGAAGGATCAAGCTGAACTACTAATCGAGCAAAGATAGATTTAGGTTGAGAAGGGAAGAACCTGAGGGAGAGGGGGAGCCGTCAGAGTTCGAGCTTGAGCTCCTCCTTCTCCTGGGAGAGGTAATGGAGGACGTAGGGAGTGACGCGGATGACGACGATAAAGGCGCCCATGATTCCCAGATGTCTCTTCAGCTGCTTGTACGCCGTGGCCTTGTCCGGCCGTCGGGGAAACCCTCCCAAGAACATCTCTCTTCTCTCCCTCCCTCGCTCCTCAAAACCCTAGCCGTCGATCGACACAAAAGAGCAGTTAGAACAAATGGGTTGTTTCGTGTGTGTCTATATATAGACGCGCGAATCACTAGTTGGTTAGATTAAGCCAACTAATAAAAGTGTCTGGTTTAGTTTGGGTTAAGTTTGGATTCGACGAGGTTGAGTGCGGAGTTGGCTTTGCGCATTTATTTTAGAGTTTCTCCATCAACATATATGATTAAAGTATTTTAATTAGAAAATAAGTACCGTTGTCCCTACAAATGAAAATACTATTTTCTATGTGTAACATATACTGGTATTTCTTTTTTTTATTATTTTTGGATTTATATAAATTTCTTCATTAAAAAAATGTGGTTAAAGTATATGTGTTAAATAAGAAGCATGTAGTCTTGCCCCCAACAAATAGAAATTCTTCCATTACAAGTGTGCTATAAAACATGTGAATTAAACCATTCTTTTTATTATTGTAAAATTATATGTATATAACTTGTTTATTAATTAAATATCTTGCATAATGGTGCCATTTTAATTTTTCAAAATATTAATGATGAAAAAGATCTAAAGTGCACTGTTCTTGCCATCTTAAATCAGATAAGCATCGTAGATTTTCCATTCAAGGTTTGATATTTTTCTCAAATCTTAATTTTTTTAATTAAAATTTAACTTACACTACTAGTGCTTTTAAATTGTAGTTAACATTTTGAGTAAATATCATTATTTAGTTTCCATTCGAATTGGCGTGACAAATAAACAGTCACGTGAACTCCACGTGTTCAAAGTCTCCTACGACAATGCTGACGTCCTACTAAAAGCCGGTATGATCGATCGCAACACCCGGAGGCTACCGATGCAGACACGTTGTCCCTGAGGAGCTTCCGGTGTGCCTCCCGCCCATTAGACACGACCTAAAGCGCCCAACCCTATCGCACTTTACTCCACGGGAACCGGTTAAGTTATAAGCCTATTGCGGGAACAGATTGGAACTGTAAACAGTAACGAAGCCCACCGGAGGAGACGGAAAATAAAGATCGAGAGAGAGGCTGCGAGTGCGGCTTCTGATTGGATCCGTTTCCTCCCACCGCCGCGCCGACGAACATGGAGGCGCCGTCATACGCGGAGGCAGCGTATGAGTTCCAGTGGGGGCCATCCCCCCGCATTCCCGGCGACGGCGGGTCCAAGCCGGGGTGGATCAGCCCCCCGCTAATCGCCATGGTGGCCGTCGTTGGCACCGCCTTCCTCATCGTCCTCTACGCCCGGATCCTCTCCCGATACCTCCGCCTCATCCGGCGCCGTTGGCACCGGTGGAGGCGGCGGCGGAGGTTTCTGCAGTCCATGGCCGCGACGTCGGACCTGGACTCCCTCCCACCGTTCAACGGCGGCGGCTCCTTCGGCTCCTCCTCGGACTTCTTTCTCTCTCCCTACGGCCTCGACGACGCGGCCATCAAGGCGATCCCAGTGTCGCTGTTCTCGCGGACCAAGGCCAAGCAGCAGGCCGCCACGAACCGGGAGTGCGCGGTGTGCCTGTTGGAGTTCGAGGACGATGACACTCTCCGCACGCTGCCACTGTGCGCCCACGCCTTCCACATGGACTGCATCGACATGTGGCTCCGATCGCACCCCACCTGCCCCCTCTGCCGTGCCGCCGTGCTCCGCCACGAGGCCGCCTTCGTCCCCATGCGCGCCGCTCGGATCCGCCCCAGCCTGGACGACATCCTCCTCATTGACCCGCCGCCCGACCGCGGGGGCGACGCGATCCTCCTCCCGAACCCCCACACCGGCCCCGAGATCGCCTCAGCCGCGGGATCCCCGCTCGCGGCCGAGGAACGGTTCGTGTCACGAGGGTTCCTACTCAAGCGCTCATACTCCTTCGGGTTCGAGGGGAGCCTGGCGGCGGAGCGGATGCTCTTAGAGGCATCCACGGCATCGCCATGGCGGTACCGCCACCAGCGGGGGGGCTTCTGGAGCAAGCGGTGGCCGTCGCCTTTTGGGGGCGTCGGCATGGGGTCCTCCTCTGTCTCGCGGGCGGCGAGGGTCTTCTCCTTCCGCGGCGCCACCGCGGCCCTGGCCAAGTCCCCGGCCTTTTCTAAGCGGCGAGGGTTATTCCCGCTCTCGTGGGAACCGAGCGGGCGGCTTATCGTCAGCAGCGCGGGTCCGTCCCTCTTCCCGCGGCCGTCGTTCTCGTCATCGTCATCGTCATCGTCATCGTCATCGACATCGTTGGTGTTTTCATCGAGCCGGATGCGGTGCGGGGATCCGGAGGCGCTGCTGTCCCCGGAGCGGCTGAAGCAATCGACGCCCACGCAACGCTGACCTGGAGCCGTCGGCGTTGGCAGGCAAGGGTAGGCCGGTGGAGCCAATGGATGAGGTGGAGCTCTTTAATGGCGGTCGCAATGCACCATTTAATGATCTGCCTGCCTCTTTAATGAGCATATGAAAGCGGAGAGAGAGAGAGAGAGAGCGGGGGAGAGAGAGAGAGACAGATCCGCTTTTGAACAGTTCCGCGGGGCTCTCTTTATCTCTGTTGCGGTGGTTGGTGTGGACAAGTAACGTGGCCGTTAATGGAAGAAGAGGGAATCGAAGTGGCCAAGAGACGAAAGCGATGGGAAGCACCTGACCGCCACGTGCCAATGGGCCGGATCAGTGGCTTCAAAGGGACACCGCGATTCATCACACCCTCTTTAACACAGCCACGAACGCACCTTCATTTTAAATGGGCCCGGCAATGCAACGGGGAATACAGCCGCCTTCAGTCTGTGTGAGGTCAAGCAAACGGGGTGGGAATTAGTCTGTTTGACAATTTAGTTTGTACTTGGCAATGCCTTTGCTTTGTTACATAGATTAAAACAGCTGAATAACTAAGAGTTTGTGCTTCTATATCAAATGACTTGAGTGTTTGATCTGACTTGCAACATTTTTGTATAAAATTATAGGAAAAATCTATCTACGATTTTGCTTATTTTAAACATCGCAAGCAGTTGAAAAAAAAAATTAATGAACCATTTATGGACTTTTTTAAATCATCAGTTTGACCTAGCAAATGGAGAAAATGTGAAAGCTCATGTCATTACTCAAAATTTCTCCTAGGTTTAAAAGCTGTCATAATCATCAGCATTAGCTGTTTGAAGCACATGTAAAAGAAAACTATAGTTTTTGGGTTGATTTAGAGTAACCAAGTAAAAGAACAATAATGTTTCTGGGTCAACCAGAATCAAAAAATAAGCATGAACTGACTTGCGGTGTCCACCTTTCTTCATCAAAGTTTTGCTTGGCTCATTGGAATTCATCAGTTCGTTCTAATATAGAAGATTGCACATCATTATTTAATCTCAGATCTACACAGTGAAAACATCACCTTACAAATGAATAACTAGACTAGGCAAGTCTTACCACAACAACAACAGAACTGAGATCTAGCAAACAAGTGAACTACGAATGTCTCAAACTTAAGACTCTCAATCACACATTACTTTCAAGAACCTTAATGACAATAGCTGCCTACAGAAAATGGACTACCAAGCGCCAGATAGGGTAAACCAAGAGAAGAATGATGCCTATACTGTTTGAGATACCATGGCTTTTTGTGAATGAGTTTCTAAAGCCACCCGATGCCCGGATGTGCTCTTGAAGCAGGTAGCAACCAATAGCCAGACATATGAAGACACCAGCAAGACCATTTCTTACAGTGTGAGCAAAAAAGCCAGGGGCAACCACCACAAGAAGGATAAATGCTGCAGGCATCTCCAACCAGTCTGCAAAGCCAAAGACAACAAATGCAGCAGAAAGATCATAATCTGCTTGTTCTTATGGTAGCTTGCAATAGACATTTTGCTCTTCAAGAGGAAAATACTCTAGATATTAAAATGCGAAGCACATGTCAGTATATTCCTTTACGAATATATATGCCATCAGGAAATTTAGATTTCATTACAGGTTCATTGTGCAAAGACTAGGAACAGCATAAAGCAGCTTGATAGAAGTGTATTATTAGATAACCTTGCAAATTTACAGAAAAAAATTCAGTAACTCATAATGGTTGTTAACATGTTTCGTTTACTGTTCTTGGCACATACAACACAATGCATGAATATTTTAGAAAATAATAACAGCATGGTGCAATACTTTACGATCAAAGACCAAAGCAAGTGTGATAGCCCTGGACTGAAGCAAAGCATGAGCCAAATAAAAGCCACGTTTACAAGATGATCAGGAGATATATTCATCCTATATGGTTGCCTTATCAAAGATTGCTAGATAGTTACAGACAAATTTCATATGTAGGAATCATTTTAAAGAAATAAGCTGCTAGGACTTAGGGCTGATTTGTTGGAAAGGAACAACTTGTCTTCCTGCTTCTTGAGATTTTGGCAAAAGTAGGTAGCAAATTTGCAAATAAGCCCATAATTATGGGAAAAACGTTCTTCAAATACTAATGTCAATAATTAATCTACTCTGTGATCAGAATCTGATAGTTCACCTGACGAGGAGAAAAAAGAATGCCAAATGAACATAAGACCAGCTTATAAATACAGTTTGAAAGGTACATCATTCCTCCATTAAATGTGTGTTGAGAAATTCTACATCAGTACATACTGGAAAGTGCAATTTGATTGATACTTTGAATCATCTATATCTTGTTGACACTTCTAAGGTGGGAATAAAGATTTACTCAGCGACATTCGGTTCCCAATCAAACAATATTTTAATAGTGATTTAGAGTATTGGATGAATTTCCAACACATACTGTCGTACATTTACAGAACTCGAAAATCATATTAAACATCCTGTATAGTAGGTGCCCAAAGAATATCTACTGGTAGGTAAATGAAGAAGGATTTAGAGCAATTAACATTATGAAATAGAAACTAGAAACTATTTAGCAAGCATATATGTTAGCTTATTTTGGTGCCAATTACAATTACAATTAATAAAGCAATATTACACACATTAAGAACCATATGCATGATAAGCACTAAGAATAATCAGTTGGCATAAGGAATATGATAAAGCAAGTTAGATTATATTGCAACAAATACCAGGGAAGTGCCGAGGAAAGAAAAGGCGCAGAACAACAGCAATTATTGCAATCCATTTCCCAACTTCCCCTCTGCAAGACAAGAAGGAAATACACATCATAGGAAAAAATAAACAAGAAATAATCATAAGAACAATTGAAAAGCTTTATCCATACATATGGGCAAGAGTGCAAGATGTACATGTCTAGCAGATGATTTATATTAAAAAAAAGAAAAACGAAAGCATGAAAGGAATCCAGAAGACCAAATAATCCAGACTAAGAATCTAGTTTTGCCTAAACTGCAGGTTTAAGTATAATAAGTAAACTCTTAATCAGTAACAGTGAAGCCTGACCTAGTCCTATTATGCTTATTAATGATGCTGTTCCTTGCAATTCCGCCAAAGGTTTACCCTTTACTGCAATTGTACTTGATAATACAAACTCGTGGACCTTCAAACTACCTCGACTTCAGCAGGAAAACCAAAACCTTTTAGCTATCCAACATTTTATTTTGGTGGAGAATACTGTAAGATGATTGGTCAAATTGGCATTAACCTTTATTCTCTATTACATCCAAATGAAAACAAGAACAAGGTGATCACCTTAGTATGGAAAATAGTACCGATGGCAGGCTCAAGAAGATATATGGAATTAAAAGTGAAGTCAGCATGTTTGTCCTCCAGTTCGTTCGATCCAGTATCAACAGATATCTGCAGAAGAAGAAACAAAAATGATGGTGATTTAAGCTGAAAGTATGAAATCAGAGCAAAGATATAGCTTCAGATACCAGTATGATTATTAAGATAAATGTGTTGTTTGTTACACTAAACAGTCATACTACAAAACTTCCAGAATTGCAGAACTGATATAATTATTTGTGATTACAATTTACAAGGCAGTTATATGAAATCATGGTAGTCCTAAATAAAGTTAATGGCAGAACTACATAATTTATCAATGTATATCCTATGAGAACAAAGACATCTTATTCATGATCTTTTTCTGATCATCGATTTGCTTTGAATCTCAGTATGTTAAGGTCCAACACATTTTTGAAATCATTAATAAAAAAAACTCCAGAGAACTTTTTCTTGAGGAAAAATACAATAAGAGTTGGAAGGGGTGATATTACAGAACAAACATAAAACATGAGAAAATTGCTCAAGCAAACTTTGATGTACCTGACAAAAGAAACATAATTGCACGTGCTACCATAGTTATCTTCTAGGTACACACTTAAAAATGGTTCAAAGTCACAGATACTACTGAAAGTAGGATTTTTTTTTTTCTCTTCTCAGAGTAGGATTTTATAATTAGACAGATTCACACATATAAATAAGAGGTAAATGGCAAGATCCAAGCAGAAAAACCATAGCATAATGACCTCCATCTTAGAAAATCTATTTACATCTCAGGAAGCTAAGAGCTACAGCTCTCGTTAACACCTTTTTTTTTTTTTGTTTAAGCAAAAAGAGAAAAGCTGCCCATAAGGGTGCAATGGTAAAGGTATGTTCGAAGAGTATAATGAAATTGCTGACTATAATCTATTCCCAGTCATAATGGAGATTTGAAGCTTAAGAAGAAGCTAGGATTATATCCTTGCATGAATCTGTTTCAAGGTCCATGTGAGGCATGACAGAGTAGGTCACTGCCTGAAAGGATATGATCTAGTATCCACATGAAGGAATCAAACTGTGGCTGTGGCTTTACGTTTCCAACCATTAGCAGAAAAGGTTTAACCAACATAGGAAAGTTAGATTTGATTCTTAATCAAACAATTTAGTATCTATCCATGGGAATTCTGCCACCGTTTACCATAGAACCTTTTCTTACCACCAAACAGTGACCATGAAGTTATTGCTTTTGGGGGTCGAACCTCCATTTTTCCCAGCAACCAAAAAGATTAGACTACATGCCCTACCCAATGGTCCATACTATCTCGATTCATTTCCAATCTACGTGCCCAAGACACACAATCACCATCAGAAACTTCTAAAGCACAATCCAGATCTAATAACCCAAATGTTCAAACAACGACCTGAAATAATTCGATGACAACCCACAACCGAAGACCTTTCCGCATCATTCACGAATTTAGTTTCCACAATGGCATGTGTTAACGCGCGCGAAAACAAACTAGAAATGTGAAGGAAGGAAAGAAAAGAAGAAAGATCGAGCAAACTGACATAGCAGCGAAGGAAGCGAGGAACTTGAGGAAAGTGGTGCCGACGCCCAAGCCGCTGCCGAGAATGAAGGCGTGGTTGGCGAGCCTCCTAGCGGCGAGGCCAAGCTCCTTCAGATCCGACCGGATCAACTCGTCGTCGCCGCCGCTGAGGGCGTAATCCGTCTTCATCCTCAGGTAGGCCCTCGTCGTCTCCGCCATCCCCTCTCACAAGGTCACGGTTCGCTCCTCCCTGTCCCCGGGTATATGATCTCAGAGAAGGAACTCCCATGGAGTTTAAAGGACAGAGGGGCGTTACGATGCCCAAGTGAGGTGGGGCCCGCCGTGTTCTTGGATCAGGAAAGATTCGTGTCGAGAGTCGTGCTGCGACTCAATCACGACAGCTGGGTACGCACCGTCAGGGAGAGTAGTGAGGTCAGTCGTTTCGAGCGTGGGACGCGTGGAATGAACCAGAAGGCCCCACAGGGTCCCGCACAGGGAACCAGCTCGTTCCTCTGGTGCAACAAGTGGTAAGCAAATGGGTGACGTGTCGCGGGGCCGGAACCGTACACTGGGTCACACTAGGAAACAAAAAAACGGATCCCCACTTCCATCACGTGTCACTGTCCATGCTGCCGACCTGTCCCCTTCTGCCAGATCTGAAAATAACATATTAATATTAATATATATATATATATATTCAAACCAAATATTAAATATTAACATCTTTAGTATACAGTCTTCGGATAAGATTCATTTAAAATATTTATGATATTAATTATGTTTATAGATTATTAATAGAAATATAATGACGTGACCAACACCTAAGTGATTAATAGAAAAATATGATCTCGATACTTCTCGGGATCTTATTATTTCTAATATCAATGAGAGACGAACGCGAAATAAAATTTCGATTAGTTCTGAATCAATATTCTATCACCGCGTCATCATCCGTTATTGAAGTTTATGATGGTCCATTCCAACATGAAAATATTTTTTTATATTAGTTTCTTCTTATTCATGAAAACGAGTACAAGTGATAGGAGAGACAACAAAGCATGGACTCATTGTCCTTATCCAAACAAAGGAAAGGAAATTGAAGTAAACTATCTTGAAAGGGATGTGCCCATTTTCCAGAGACTTTTTGTGTTAAGACAAACCTTAGAAACATGTTCTTCTTACAGTATAAAGGAAACTATCTTTGTGTTCATATCTATGAAGATTTGTGTTTAAATTTGTCGGTATATCATTAAATTTTTTTGTTACAATGCTTTACATCATAAATGGTTAAGAATTTTGTGATTAATTCCCAGTGGATTATAATATATTTCCCCGGAAAATTCTCTTATATTTATTTATATGTAATTCAATCATCCCTTATTAACATCCATCGAAGTCAACATCAATCAATTCAGGAGATACGTGTATGAACATGAACCCCTCGAGGGAAATTATAGGAAGATGAAGCTCGTCCATCCATGTCGTCACAGCAATCGATGATTAATAGTTGGCCAGTTGGGTGGGGTCTTCTTCATTTAATGCACGGTTTGGTGGAAGTGATTAATTGTGTTCTGACTCTTTTGAATTGTGGTGGCTCGGAAGGGGGACGTAGCTTTAAACAATTTGATAGGCCTTAGAATAGATTTTACTAATAGGAACATAAAAATAAAAAGTAAAAAGATAAATTTAACGTTTTAGCTGTTTTAGTTGATCGCTGGGGTCGCGGGTACCTGTTGTGGATGAGGAGAATGACGATGAGAGGTGAGAGTCGCTTTGTCTCTACATCGACGCCAATATAGTTATCGAACGACCTTTTTACTGTTTTACATCTGCGTTGACGTCAACACAATTACTGAGCGACAAAACAACCACCGATGTAGATGTCAAGCGACGTCACTTAGTAATTATGTCGACATCGAAGTAAATGCAGAACAGCGTCACTTGGCATCTGCATCGACAGCCCTTTCGTCACTTGGTAACTGCATTGACACCAACACAAATGCAAAGTAGCCCTTACCTCTCGTCATCGCTCTCTTTAACTATAAAAGCCACTCGCGACCCCAACAACGTCATCGTCCGCCACCACCAATGATGTTCACCACCACTAACTAAAATATTAAAATTATTTTTTTATTTTTTATTTTCATGTTTTCATTGGTAAAATCGATGATGTTATGATAAATAGACATAGATATTTTACTTTCGTAATTATAAGGATGTCAATGTAACTTTCTGAAGTATAAAATCGCAATACTAAATATAGTTAATTATAAGAAATAATCTTTAATTAATCAGCTCATATGATATAGTCTGAATAGATAAGGATGCTGGTTATTAAACTCGGTACAACATCATTTGAGGATCAAAATCACATAGATATGCTTATATAATTTTTGAAAATTTAAAAATTTATTCGTATATATACAACAACAATAATTATACCAAAAGTTGTGCCCCAATTATTTGACGTTGACAGCATTTTCTGCACCAATCTTTAATCTTAGTGTAATGCAGTTTATTTACCAATATTATTCAAATAACTTTGTATTATTTTTAGAAAAGAAAAGCTTTTTAGTGTGTATATGTGAGTGACAAAAATAAAATCATTAGTTTTCAATTTAAGATTTTTAATGTTTGATAGACACCTAATAGATTGTTCATACCTTAACAATAAGCTATAAAGACAACATCTTGAATGCATTTTATGCAACGATTATGATCAGACGATGTTTCAACAAATGTAACTATTTGTTGCCATTTCAATTGCGAGTATTTCTGAAAATGAATATGCATGACTCGATGATTTCATCTTTTTGTATTATTTTCTTCTCTTCAGATTAATAGTATTTTTCTTGTCACTGTTGCTTGTAAATTGAAGTATTTTTATATCTATCTTTGTTATATAAGATTTATATTTTTTACTTATTTCTTACGTAAATGAAATATGGCATGAGAAATTTTTGTCAATCAGAAGGAATTCTCTCAAAAGTTTTGAGATTAATTATAGATTAGCCTTCATAATTAGTTATCTTTAATATCTCTATTACTATATTTTTCACTTTCACAAATATAAAGATCTTAATATAATTTTTAAAAATATTAAATTAAAATAATTAAAAAAAACTAATTATAATATATAATTTTATTTTTATAAATATAGAAAAAATTAATATAATTTTTAAAAGTATAAGGATCGAATTAGATCATATAATTTAAAAAAATAATATAAACTTGTTGTTTTTATATAATCTTGGAATCAATAATTTTTTTTCTCAAAAATATATCAATTTTTTTTCTCAAAAGAACTTATAAGATTTTTGATGAAGGGGCAAATTTATGTTTTTATACCCTAATGTTTGGTAACAACATAAATGTTCATACAATTTGTGTTTACTTTAGTGTTCAGATTAATTCGAGAAGATTTTAGTCACAGCAATTTGAAGTATCATCATCAGCACTTTGTGCCTATCTCCATCATGATTCGATGGAGGCTTCTTCAGGTATCCATTGTCAAGTGTTTCACCTAAATCGTCCTCATGTGCTCGATTAGTCTTGCGAAAGTTGACATCATTGTAGCTTAAGACACAGCATTACATCATCTGGCTAAGCCATTTGTTGATCCTCCTTCATGACTTCCTCGGCGCCACCACCGTCCGGTGGTGCGAAACGCACACCTGCGTGCCGAACTTGCAGCCGAACCGTCTGGCCAGCTTTCCCCGGCCGCCCCCCGCCGCCGCCGCCACCGCCCCGCGGTCCATCCTCTCGATCGCCTTCCTCATCCTCGAGCACTCCCTCTCCAGCCCCTGCACCCGGCTCCGCATGCTGTCCATGTCTAGCCTCAGCACCTGGTTCTCCCGTATCGCCGCCGCCCCCCTCCACCCGCCCCCCTCCCTCCTCTCCCCTTCCGCTGCCTCATCCTCCTCCTCCTCCTCGTCCTCCTCGTGCTCCGCCGCCATCAGCGTCCCTGCGATCGCCCGCCGCAGCTGCAGCTGCTCGAAGAAGAGCACCTGCACCACCGCCCGCAACGGTAGCCGCTCGTTCTGCGCCGCGTGCGTGCACGCCTCCAGCGTCAGCTTCTGGCAGTCCATCACCCCGCACACCCTCTCCTTCTCCTCCTCGGTTATCCTCGGATGCGCCTACGTGCACGTACATTTATAATCCATCACGAACATATTAACAAACACCTCATGTACATCCCAACAAGAGCCCCGGAATCGCCGTACCTTGAGGTAGACATCGACGGAGCGATAGAGACCGTCGTCGAACATCCTCGCGTGGTCCGGCAGCGAGAGTGCGAGGTTGCAGAACTTGTCTGGTTTCAGGTTCGCGTCGGACGCGATCTCTGAGAGGTACGTGTCCACCAGCTTCCCCACCACCAGCAGCTTGTTCTTATCAGTACACAGGGATGATCCCGCTTCCTCCTCCCCATCACCGTCGTCGTCTGCGTCCTCCTCGGCGGCGGCAGCGGTGGCCGGTCTCTCCTCGAGGCCCTCCAGGAAGAAGCCCACGATCCGCTCGACGCAGTCCACGTCGTAGAGCGTCTCGACAAGGTAGGAATAGCTCGGCATCAGGAGGTCATCGAGGGTGGCGTGCTCGAGCTGCGAAGCGATCCTGCGTTCCAGGGCGGTCCGGGAAGCTTCCGAGGCGCGGAGGATGTTAGCCGTGCGGAGGAGGCCGAAAAGGAACCGGGTGGTGACCAGACCCGAAGAGGAACTGCTGCTCTTCTTCTTCGATTGGGGGAGGTTGGTGATGACGGTCTCTAAGAGCTCCCGTTGCTCCGCCTCTGATGGCAGCGGGCCAGAGGAGGCGGCGGCCGCAGTGCTGGCGTTATGATGGCGGTTCGACCGTGAGAGCCCCGGGATCGACCGCTTAGCGTAGGAGATGAGGGAGCCTTCGATCACGTCGGCGTTCAGATCCTTGGCTCTCATGGCGGAGATCACCCGCTTGTAGAAAGGGAGGCTGAGGGCCGCCAGGTCCTCGAACCAGGAATCAACGGCAACCGCGGCCGCGGCCGAGGCGGCGGTGGAGCGGAGGCCGTTCTTTCGGCGGATCCCGGTATCGATCCCATTCCAGAGGGCGGCGGCGGCAGACTGGAGCTTGGCGTCAGCTGCCGCGGCCGCCCGCCCGCTGCTGCCCTCCTTGATGGGCCAGCCGAAGAGGGAGCTCATGTCGGCGGAGGCGGGGCGGGTGGCGATGGATTCGACGCAGCGCTGCACGAGGCCGAGGTCCTCAGCCATGGGGAGCAAAGCCTCGCAGGACTTGAGGGCTTTCACCGATTCCCTCGGGCTCCGGAGCACGGATTGGGCTAGGAACCGCTCGGTCCGCGACACGAGGTTCTCCTCCGCGAACTCCTCCGTCATTTCGAGGTACTCGGCCGCACAGCGCAGGGCGGCGGCGTTCCAGGCGGTGATCTCGATTTTGACGCCGTAGCAGAACTTCGCGGCGGCCTCGAAGATTTCAGCGCCGCCGGGGAAGTCCGGCAGCGGAATGTGGTGGAAGTCCTCTTCCACTTCTTCGATCTCTTCCTCCTCTCCGTCTGCCCCATTTTTCTGCTCTATCTCCGTGATCAGTTGGTGGAGCTTTCTACTCTTCGACATCAAGGGGAACTGTCGACACCAAAATCCGAGTTAGAAACCAACAAAAAGGGCAAAAAGCTGATACATTTGGGGCTTAGATCATCACCTTATGGAGATGGAAGCTCATCTCACCAACCTCGATCACAATGTCAGTAGGCAATCCAGTAGTGCAAAACCTTCAAGAAAACGAGACTGATGAGCTAAAAGATCAAAGCTTTCCAGTAAAATTAGATGGAGCAACGACCAAACCATGCTTGGCCTCTGGAGCTGGACTTCTCGGCTGCCATTGTCGTCCTCTACTCAAACAGAAGTTCCTCCAGATCTGCCAATAGCTCACTGGAGCCCGAAACCGTTCGCCATTGCTTCCAAGCTCCAATCTTTTCCCAGATTCCACCACTATGGCTCAAACTCCCTTGCTCAGATGGGGCTCAAGTGTCTGCAGGCGAGGGGGAGGAGAAGAAAAAATATGATTTTGTTAGGTTGGGAGGGGATTCCAAGTGGGAGAGAGGGACAAGGAACGTTTGAACAACGTTTCACCTCAAAAGCAGTTACCTTGCCCAATTTACTAATCCTTTCTTGTTAGTTTAATTGAATTATGCTGCAGGCTTTGCTGCATTATCTGAAGAGAATCTCACTCGAGGAGGAGAGGGGGAGGAAAGCGAGGCACGGTAGGTGTTTGTTTAATGTCCTTCTACTGTGGGATCATTTTTATCTCTCTCTTTGATTGCCAATTGGCTTTCTATTCCTTGCCATTGCCATTGCCAATTCCTCTCTTGATCTCCTACTTAACCATTGTCCTTATATTTCTCTTTCTTTCATGTTCTGTTCTCCTTTCTCCTGCTGCTGTTGAGGTGTTACAGGTCATGCAAGGATGCAACCTTTTGCAGAAAATGCAGAGCTCATCAATGTTTATCCACCACCGCTGGAGCGCATTAAAGGTGTGAGACAAGCTCTAATGGGGAAGCAGAGAACAGTGAAGGTATGCATGTACAAACCATCTTGACTCTTGTCATGCTAGTCTGTACCTTTTCAATTGTTTAAAGTTTAAACTCAAAAGCACATTGGCCATCACCATTCTACCCATTTGATGCTTTGCTGCCACAGTAAGCATGCTGCTCTGCAATCTGTGTGACTCAAAACTAATGCCACAATTTTGGGCAGAGTAGATGTGAGATGTGTGCCAGACAAACTGGCATCAAGTCCTCATTTAAGCTTCCTCGAGTAACAGAGAGAAACTCTATGATTTAGTTGACTCGACATGATAGATGAATTCTTTCCTCTATCTTGGAAAGGTAGTACAAGACATTCCAGATACATAGGCTACTCACCACAATACTTTGGAGTTTTGTTAGCAACATGATGCTAATATTCCATGACAACTAACCTGGTCCATGTTCACATAAACAAATACTGTTTCTGGACTTGTACAGACCTATGCTGTGTGTCTGCAAATACCAGGCTGTGTAGACAAGAAGATGCACAAACAGTGTGGCCCATTGCATTTATAATGCATAGCTGCTTTGTTCATAGACTCTTAATGCCAGTGAAGTAAGATCATCTGGAAACAGAGACTCTTTTCGTGAATGTAGGGAACATGACCTACAAGTTAGGGCAAAGGAACACTGCTGTTTGTGTGTAGAAACAAGAGACACCAGAGACACTGATCCAGTGCAGTGTGGTCAAATGCACTCAAACAAATACTTTATTGGCTGTGTGTGTACCTGTAAGGTAAACCTAGTAAAAGTAGAGGTGGCAAGTGCTGAGTACTAAAAGGTTAGTTGTAACATTGGAATGGAATTAAATGTCTGCTTTTAGATCCTCCATAGATCATATTTTTGTCTGTGGGAAAAAGATTGAGATGTCAACTTCTACAGGGAGATTTTGGCAGAGGGATTTGAGGCAAGGGGTTATAATAATGGAATGAAATTAGATAGATTCCTACAATTTACAGAAAGATTCTTCCTATAACTCAAATACTGCACCAAATGACATTGTTGATGCCCTTAAATAATAGATTGTTTATTTCAGAGGCAATTCACACCTCATGTTCTATTTAGGATCAGTCAAACAAATCTTTTATAGTCATTCAGCTCTAGACAAAATAATATTATTAGAAATTAAAAATATTAGCTCTTCATTTATAGTTTTTCAGTAATTTTTTTTTCAGGTCTATCTCTTCTTACCTCACTAATACTAATTATTTTATATATTCTAACTGCAATATTCATTTTTTTTTCTTCTGTTTATATCATCTTAAACATTTATTTATTTTATCATTTATCATATATATATATATATATATGTATATATTCTTTCTCACTTAAATTTAAAGAGCATTAAGGGAAGTTATTTCTACGGCATTACTAGAGGGTCCTCAGGAAGACAGGCTTTGGTGTCTTGTAGGCGTCTGACAGCTAGGATTATACGCGGTTTGATTGTACTTGATTCATACATGCTTTGTCTTACATGCACGACCACACACACCCGGCAAAGGCCACCGAAACCAATGAGAAAAGGTTTCTGTGCATAGTGGATGGCATCCTATGCTGACTCCACCACACCTGCTTTCCACCCCCCCAACATACTCGATCGGGGCTTTGCATTGTGATGCGTGCGCAGGATGATAGGACCCCGGGATGGTTCCTGCGTCTGGGTGGAGCCACCAAACACGGGTTATCGATCTTCCACTGGTGGAAAGCGGTGGGCTCCGGAGGTATTAGCCGTGTGAGTGGCTTGGTCGGGACACGGGGATCTCTGCTTCTGAATTGGAGATTGATTTCGTGTGCTCATTCAGGTGGAGTGGTCAAAGCCACGTCACCACTTCACGCTTGCTTTGGGGGGCACGTTGATGGCGTGTCTCCACTTTTGGAGGCGCTGATGCAACACCAACGTTGATGGCTTTTGAAGCTTTTGCAATCGTGCAATGAAGTGGGGTGGTGGGCAGCAGTCTCAAAACATCCATCGAGCCCCTCTCGTGCGCGCCACGTCGACCTCATCGTGACTTGAGTCATGGCACGCCGGTCAGTGCTTGGAATGTGTCTCTCTCGCTCTAATCGTACGTGTTGGATGGTGATTGGGTTCTCTTATAAGCACGGGAAATTGGGTGCTCGGCTATGATTGGGGTTGACTCTCGTCTCATTCTACGCATTCACAACGTAATACCCAACATTCATGATTAAAATAAAAATAAAATATTTTAATTGTTTTTATTAATAAGAGTATAATAAAAACGTAGTTTTAAAATTAAAACATATTAACTTATAAAATAAAATGATAAAAAAAAATTACATAGTATTTTTTAAATCTATATATAACTATAACTTGGTACTTGTTTTTGTTGAATCTCGTATTTTGATGATGAAACCAATTGATAATTACTATGTTTTAATCTGCGTTTTGAGTGACGTTGGATGCTTCGATCAGGATGAGACAATTAAAGCAAGAAAAATCATGTTGTGCCGGAGGAACATGTCAGAAGATTGAACGTCGGGCCGGTGGATCGGTCGACATATCGACAGAAGGCTTCGGGCCAAGAAGAGCGAGTATTGTGCTAAGGATTTTGGAGTTACGAAGTCAACCGACCGATTGAACAATAGGTCACAGGAGAGGACGATGCGCCGAATAATCGGACGAAGCGTCGAGGGACCAATGACATGCCGGACAACTTAGTTAATTACTTAGGATTAATTATCTCGATCGAAGTTTTGTTTTACATGTGCAGAATTAACTACGATGGAAGAAAGACATGTAGTAGGAGTTGCGCCGGAATCAAGACTATGATCACGTTGGAAGTTCGAGAGTTCGACAGAAGTCCGGATGGTCGTTGGAGGTTCTGCGGGAACAAATCCGAGAAGTCCAGGAGCTTGCCAAAAGAAGCTCGTTGAAACTCACCAAGTGGATCGTCGTAAGTCCAGGAGTTTGCCGGAAATCCGCAGGAGCATCACCGAGGGTTCATCGGATGATCGACGAAAGTTCACCGGAAGCTCGCTAGAAGAAGCGATTGACGCACCGGAGCAAGTTGCAGTAAATGTCTTGAGAAATATCATAGTTAGCACGATGATTAAGTTAAAAATGAGAGGTGATCCCATTAACTTAATCTTGGGGCAATTAGGCCCTTGACAGACCCAAATTGAGCCGAATGGATCAACTCATTCGGACCCTGATTTCTTGGCCGGCGGTGGCACCGCCCAGGGCTCAGTCATCGAGCTAGGCTGGGTGGTGCAACCGCCCCTGACAGACGGTGGAACCGCTTGAGCTCGATCTCCGAGCTCTGCCAAGCGGTGCAACCGCCTAGGCTCAGTCTCCGAGCGAGACTGGGCGGTGCAACCACCCCTGTCAGGCGGTGGCACTGCCCAAAAGCTCAGTCTCCGAGCTGCTAGGCGGTTGTACCGCCCCAGTTAGGAGGTAGTACCGCCAGGACCCCGGAAATCCGGGAAAAGATACTTTTGAGCTCCAAATTCAAACAAGTTTGGGGCCTATATAAATCCCACCCTTTCCTGCATGAAAGGGTAACAAAAGGCATCGAAAATCTAATCATACTCTGTGATTTTTAGAGCTCAAAAGTGTTGTAAAGGTTAGAAGTTCTCCTCCCTCTTTTCTTCCAAGTTTTGAGCTTTCAAAAGAGGAGAGAAATTCTGTAAGGGTTGTCTCCTAAGCCCGTCAACCCATCAAAAGGAGTGAAACTGTAAACGGATGGTTGGCCTTCGTCTATTGAAGGAAGGCCTCTAGTGGACGTCGGTGACCTCATCGGAGGAGGAAGCCGAAAGTGGATGTAGGTCAAGATTGACCAAACCACTCTAAATTTCGGAGGAGGAAGCCGAAAGTGGATGTAGGTCAAGATTGACCAAACCATTCTAAATTTCGGAGGAGGAAGCCGAAAGTGGATGTAGGTCAGTAGCTTACTATCTTCTGCTCATTTACGAACATGTTTAATAGTTAAGTATTTTCCGAATCGGCGTTAAGACGAAAATCAGTTTTATCGTACGAACATCATATTTAAGTTTGCACTTACATTCGAATTTCCATCATAACTGCAAACTGCCTTTATATCTTTGCTTTAACTGCATCTCGCTTGATCACAAGTTAAAGTGATTTACAAATCGACTTTCTTATCAAAATCGCTTTTATCGTACGAATGCAGTTTTAATCGTCGAAAGTTTTCCATTACACTAATTCACCCCCCCCCACCCTCTCTTAGTGCTCTTGATCCTAACAGTTTTCGTACCTTAGTATCCTAACTTATAAAATAGAGTTTATAGTGAACAATAAATCAATAAGTATAAACCTTTATAGTTTTATTCAAATAAGCATACATCATATTATATATACAATATTTTAAAATTATTAACATAAAATATTTAACAGTAAACTTCTTATCCTAAGATTTTTTCAACAAGCATAATCGTATAATATATCATATACAAAATATAGAGATAAATTTTAAATTTTATATCGAAATAATTTAAAATTATTATATATACATATAGAAAACATAACAAATTCACGGACTCTTGCCATTCATATCATAATATATATGTACACACTCACATAGCACGTTATAATATATATAAATATACTCATATTTTATAATATATACAGGCACTCGAACATCATAACATATATATATATATATATATATATTAAATATCATAATATATTTACGCATATCCACATTACATATCATAAAAATACGTGTCCTCTCATATCACACATCATTATATATGCATAAATAAAAAAATAATTTTATCATAATTTATATATTATTATACTTATACAAATTATATATATATATATATATATATTCATATTTATCTTATGACGACCAACATGGATTCCAAATTACCTTATACATATAATAATTTATATAACTATTATTTTATAATAAATTAAACTTATACTTACCTGATTGAATTAAAAAAATAAAAATACTAATGAAAAAGTGTGTTAAAAAGTAACACATTTATCAAATTGGGAGCATAGGATCATCAAATGCCTTAATTAAACTAGTTGGTATCAAATTGGGAGCATACATTCATAAAATGGCTTAATTTAATTATCATAAACTTTTGATAAAAACTAGAAAACATATAAAACTAAATAAATATCAAATTTTAACTTAAAATAGAATAATTTGGAAGTTAAACTACTCTCATATTTCAACTACTATACATATTCTGTTCTACTGAAATTACGACTATTTAAACTTATAAACCTCATATTTTGATGCATAAAGATGATATTCACTCAATTTGAGATCTCAAACCTCTTAAAACATATCAAAAAGTCAAAGACTAATTATATTCCTAAGGGGTTTTATTCAAGTAAATAGGAGATTCTAAGTACCTCATATTATGATACTAATAATTATATGCACCAATCTCATATTAAAGTCATAATAAAGGTCTTAGGATCATAAGAGATTCATATAAAATATATCTAAAAATCAAAATTAAATTTAAAATTTAGGTTACTCAAAAGTAATTAAAAATACCAACCTATAATCTATAAAACTAAGAACTTAAGTATAATAAGGAAAGAATTGAATTTTTCTTACCTCAATCTTTTATGATTTCTGACCTCCATGAGAAAAGCTAAAAGAACAATTGAAGAAGAAATGAAAGAGTCATGAGTTATACGTTGCTAAAGAAGATAAGGCTAGAATAAGATAGAGATGTTAAAAAGATTACCTTAAGGTTTAAGGTTCAATCCCGACCTCATTTTAACCTTTTTTCTTTTACTACTATAATTTTTATGTTGTAGTAACTTCAATTAAGTTTAATTTGGTTTGATAAAGATAATATTTTTGATCTAAACTCTTTTTCAATCTCACTTATATATCTCAACATTTAGTACAATGCTCTTCTTTAATTTACTTCTTCATTTAATTTTTTATTACTCCATTCATGCTTAAATAGCTTATGATTCTTCACATGCATAATGAATAAAACTTAAAACTTCCTTATAATAATCATGATCAAACTTATTCAAGCCTCGATATTCCGTCAATTAAAATTCAATCGCCACTTCTAGTTACTATATGCATACTTATTATCATGACTTAGCCTCATAGTCAACTCCGCTAGCACATTTTGACTTATTGCAATATGCTTAACATAAACATTAATACTTATACATGCTCAACCAACATTTCATAGAACACTAAGGTTAATATTTTTGAAAAACATATACTTCAATTATGAAATCCGAAAACAAAAACTTATTATTTATCATATTTATGAAGTATAAACATCATAAATCATATTACTAAATATGGATAATATATATATATTACTTATACTTCTATTGGCATATTAGTTATAGTTGAAAATGTGTGGGACTCAACTATTATAATCCTCCTCTCTAAATAAAAATTTCATCCTCAAAACTGCTTACTTGAATAACTCTAGATATTTCTCTCACATCTCTTTTTCTCTGTCCTAAGTTGCTACCTCCATAGCATTTTGACTAAAGCAATCTTCTTATAAAAAATTCTACATGAACAATAAACAATGAAGCAAAATATAAAGATAAAAAGACCATCACAAAAACAAAGTAAACCTGTATAAAATGACATCATAAAGAAAAAAAAAAGAGAAAAATAAGGATCCATTGGAAAACTGATATGTAAATTTCTACATGTGATTTCCATAAGGCAGCACTCATCCAAAGAAAGTATACCACTAATGGATTTGAGTCCAATATTTTGCAAAGCTCAATGCAGGATTAACTACACTAGAAATTTTGCACACATTTAAATATCACAAACAGTTCCATTAGACATCTATACTGATCATGGTATCAAATATCCCATTAGCTTAGACTACACCAATGAAAACAACACACTGACCAGCTTGAAATATAAAGGGCAAAAAGTGAAGTGCATACCACCACTACTTTAACTTGGGCATCTCAAGGAGTGGAGCCAAGAGCCCCACATCTTGAGCAACAGAAATGCTGCCACGATCAGCTCTCTGTGGTCTTATCCAACATGGGTTTCTTTTGAGAAGGTTCAGCATCAATTGGCTTTATAGTAGCTCGCTTTATGCCTCTGCCTACGACGCCTAGGTCCATCACACCACCATTTGATGCAGCAGTAGAAATAGTTGGAGAATCAAAACCACCATTTGTGGCTCCCATCTGCAAAGAATTCAAAGATGAAGCTCTGGATGCACTTGGTGCATTCTTTTCATCATAAGGCTGCTTAGAAGCTATCAACTTCATGACTTCAGACACAACAGATCTTGGATTTGTCAATATTTGTTGCAGGTCTTCCAGCTACATCCATAAAATGTAAAAGACTTTGTAAGTGCTGATGGTGTGTCCAAAGATGTAATCTGTTTGTAAGCTACAACCATGCTATCGCATGATATTTGACAATGCAGCTGAAAGAAATCACCGATTGCCAGATCTAGTGGTTCTAATTTGGTAATATAATTTAATGCAATAAAATTCTAAGAATCAAATTTCAACTTTGCAAAGAAAAATAACATTAGTGAAAAATACCTTCTTTTCAAGCTCAATTAATATCGAACTGAATAGTTCTATCTCTTCCACAAAATTAGATGAAAACCTAGCATCTTCAGCAGTTAGATTGTCACTTTTCTCTGAGCCAGACACAGAATTCCCGACAGCTTCAGCTGGAGTTGTCAAGCTTGTTGTAGAAGACCTAGCATCTTCAGCAGTTAGATTGTCACTTTTCTCTGAGCCAGACACAGAATTCCCGACAGCTTCGGCTGGAGTTGTCAAGCTTGTTGTATTTTCCTTGAGTCTTTGTAAACGAGACTTGCAAAGTGATATCGCCTTTTCACAGTAAGGTATGGCATCTTTAATTCTAGATCCCAATTCCAAGACTAAACTTATCCTGAAGTTTCTAAAATCAAGTTAAAGAAGCAGAAAAGAGAATTTCTGTAAATCACCTTTATTTTTACATTGCTAACAAATAGCAAGTAGTAACAATATATCACTTGAAAGGATACAATTCAACAATCCGGCGATTGTCAAACTCAACCAGGTGTTCCAATATGGATAGAGCTCTCAAATAGTCATTTAACGAAGTCTCAATGTCCTCTGCAAGTTAGCAAAGTTGCTCAGATTTCAGTATAGCAGTTGATATCTGTAGGAACAGCAGCTAAAGGAAGCTAACCTCTTTCCATGGAAACTTCAGCTAGAGCAGCCAAGATATTCACCTTCTCCATGGTATTTCCAGAGCTCTTCTCAACAATTGCCCTTGCAACATCTAGCATTTTCCAGGCAAGATCCAAATCAGATTCATCTTCATCTGCTTCAGCCGTATCCTCATCATCATCTCCACTTTCATCATCAACTTCATCATTTGTATAATCCTCATCACCTACACCTTCTCCTACAGACATAATAAGAACAGCTATGACAAGGAACAGTAGAGCAACTTATGTTTAGCCATTAAACAGAAAAAAGAAACTGAAGAGAGCTAAAACAATAATGCTGCAGAAACTACTGATAGGGCATGCTTAAGGCTAAAATTGAAGCTACTGCCAAAGAAACAGAGAGTTAGGAACAGGAAAGTTGATGACTATCAAAGATGTCTAGAACTCCAGCAATCATGCAAACCAACCAGATCCATAACTTGCTATGGTCACCACATGAACTTTATAAGATCTACAAGAACAACATAATAAGTTTATTCATATTTTAAAAGAAATCAATAAATAGCAAGTGTGCTAGCTTATTTACTAGAATTAGATTTGATTGTATATTCCTCTGTTATGTTATTATGTCTGCATTCTAAGGACAATGGGAGGGAGGAGGTGGTGGCTGGTAATCTTGACTAAATTATCAAAACATTGACTATGTGTCCAATTCTAAAGATGACCAAAATATAACACAAGATTTCTAGCATCACCTTTATTTTCAGTTTCAATTTTAACCCTCAAGAGTTTCATTGGCAGTATCAATGTTTTTTCATCGTGGAAATTTTAGCATTTCTCTTAGAAAGATTAATCTGGTTCAACCAATCTGAAATACGATCAACTGTTGTCCACTAAACAGTCTTCATTAGAAAAATGTTATAAAAAATTAACAAATATGGAATTGGGCAGACTTGATTATCTCATGAGTTTTGGTAGCTTTGACTAATTTGTGTCACTGATTTCGGCCAAAACTACCACTATATTCTTAAACCAAACCACAAACATAAATTTTGGTCCAATAGCAGCTTGGTAATATAGCAGAATGGTAAACCAGCCTGTATAATAACCCATACAGCCTTGTTTCACCCCAATGATACAGACCGCTATTTGAAACCATGAACCAAAAATCTAAAGGTAGTTTATATGAGCTTTGTTCCAAATTTGGTTCAACCAATCAAGATCAAGATAAGTCAATATTCAATACATTAACTTTACACATCATGAGCATCACAAAGTTAAAATGAAAACAATCCTAACAAAAAAATTGGGTGCCCCAAAAAATTGGTTGCTCCTAAGGGCACTATTATGATCATGATCAACTATTAACAATCCAACAGTCCTTTTAAGGCTTTCGGCTTCCCAACAGAATATACAACTATCCGAAAGTAAATATATAATAAACTTAATATAATTATTGATGCATATTGATTAAAACTAAACATTTAGAGCATATAACTCAAAAATCTATTATGTCACTTTGATAATCTTTTAGAACCATTTGGGACTCTTAAATAACCGTTGCACAAATTGCTCGATAAGCAAGCTGACGTATACAGCAACCCTATCACAATAGTTTTGACTAATCTACATCTCCCAGTAACATATGAAAGGACAGTTTAAAAAACTGTATCAGCATTAGTAATGATAGATGTTATACCCACTGTTACAAAAATCCTAATAGAAAAACAACAGTGACAACAGATACCTATTATCTAAATCAAACATATATAGGTGCTTAATGTATCACTTCATCAGCACTAGCGTTAGAACACATACTGAGTAGAACAGCAATATAAGTACAGAAGGTGGTTAAGTTTATAGGCAAGTACCTTGTATTACTGATTTATTAAACACAGAGTTGAAGTATGATAATAAGACATCTATATTGATTAAAACTAGCTGCTCAAGAATTCATTTTCAAAAGCAATACACTAGACAGGCATCCTTGATCAATTATATTTATAATCACAATCTTGAAATGTAAAATTATTCAGTTCATTCCTGGAATATAATGGAGGAAAATTACACTTACAACAATACGATAAAATTTGGTTGGTCCAACTGAGATGATCCATAATGGCATCAACAACAATAATCAAGTTATACCCTTAAAAAAATAAAAGAAGCAATCATATTTAAAATCTGAGTATGTAGGTGTTAATAACCATAGGAGCAAGAAACTTTTTTTCCTAAGATGTACTATCAGTCTTAACTCTTTCAATATGATGATGACTACGTAGATGACAAAGGCAACGCAGGTATAAAGATGTCATCAACAAAGACCCTATTACTGCTGATTTTATTCCCCAGAATTAATCATGAAGTTTTTAAAAACTTGCGCTGCACAAGCAGCAAATCCCTCTGAAGTCTCCAATATTTCTGAGATGTTATGGTCATAAAGGAGAATCACCTTATACAAAATAAACTATGTATTATACTTATTTACAGAATTAGTATAGGAGTCTTTTAACATTCATATGAT